GCTTGGTATAATATTTTTTCAGTAACTTTGCGGTAGCTATACAGTAATATACACACACTTGTTATAAAAATACATTAAAATAAAATAAATAAAATAAAATAAAATATGGAGGCCGATCCTGATAGTATATCGAAACGGTGTGTTTTATTTTTGGCTCCCCAAAATAGTTCAAATTAAGTAAGAACAAGTTTTCAAAATTTAACTACGCTATGTGAAGTTATTAGTGATCAACTGAACTCACTTTTGCTAGTCTGTAAGTACAGTTTTACTGTAAATTTCACCGAAAATATATAATTAGTACGTATTTAACATCATTGAAAATTTTCATATCTACATTTGCTTGAGCACTGTAATTTATAAACACCACTACGATCCATGTAGTTGATGGGATCTTTTGTGTTGGTTAAACATTGCCCTAGATTGTTCGGGACTTTGAAAGAAATGTGGGTATTCTCAACAGATCTTTTTATACCTTCAAGAACGTCTTTCTGGAGATCTTAGATACATCCTAAAAAGATCTGTTGAGAATACCCACATTTCTTTCAAAGTCCCGAACAATCTAGGACAATGTTTAACCAACACAAAAGATCCCATCAACTACATGGATCGTAGTGGTGTTTATAAATTACAGTGCTCTGATTGTGATGCTACATATATAGGTAGAACCTGTAGATCACTAACTTCTCGTTCCTTAGAACACACTAAAAAAGAGAACACTTCCACCTTCTCTCAACACCTTGCACAACATAAACATACCCTCAACATCCCAGAAGATGTCTCTTTGTTACATAATATTCCCCAAAAAATTTTTCTAAAATTAGATCTATATGAAGACTTGGAAATAGTCAAAGAAAAACAAAAGAGCCCCAATTGCGTTAATCGCCATGTTTCTTTCAACCGTGACTTTCAACCTTTACATCGTCAACTTTTTTCATAGTTCACATTTCACAATACTGCCCTACTTTCTCTGCCTTATTACATCACATTCCTGTCAATTCTGTTCTCTTTCATTATTTCTTGGTCAATTCATATATCAAACATGTATCCAATAGTTTTAATTTAGTAATCACTCAAACATTATCGATCAATTTATTAAAATTCATAATCTACCATATTACAAAGAATCCTTATCTACCATTGTCCACCTTCTCTCGGTCAACTAGTGCACACTATACAAATTAGTTTCTACACTGATTATACCACCAAAATAGATTTTGTTCAGGGTGCTAGATACTTTAAGTATAAAGGACCCCTATTATCTCTAATTGTTGATTAACTCCTTTTCTCCTTCAACCGCCCCCCCTCCTTTTCTTCAGTCATTTCCTTTACTTTTATTCTCATTAGTCTCTGAGGAACCCAGCCTCTTCAATTTTAAATTCAATCACATAGGTTACTACTTTAATTTCTTCAGCCTGTAGATTTCCATCTTACTAAACTTAATTTTATTAATTTTTCACCATAGGAGCAGTCTTAAATAAAGTCATTTAAATATGAGGTCTGATATTAGCTTCAAATATTTGTTATTTAATTTTTACCTTGTCCTAGATGTGATAAACATAAAAGGATAATTTTCATATATATATATAGCTAATCCAACATAAAATACACTTTTAGACCACATTCCATACGACAAAAAGCAACATAAGTTGCCTAAGGCACAGGTCATTCTATTAATCATGACTATAAAACCATCATTGATTTCACATCTTTTATACCCTAAATTAATAAATAAAAAAGTTTTTTAAATCCAAACACCTAGATTGTTGTTATTTTTTAAAATCATCAAAACTTGTTGAATCTTTTGGCTGTAGTAATACTATGTACAAATAATATAGTTTTTGTTGCATTGACATTCTGTTTTCGTCATCCTTCATAAGTATCTTGTCAATCAGTTCCCAGCTGTTCTCCGCGTGTAGAGGTTCTCTCTCACCGGCTCTGGAACTCGATTCAGCCATGTGTTACCTCTAGTCAAATTTAATTTAATATGAACATCACAGTTATTTTACAACACAATGTACAATCTTTTATAACTAAATGTAATTTAAAGGGTTTTTACCCTAGTATTTTGGTGGCTCAGGCATTGTGACCTAGTAAGTATAACCATCTTTTGCTTTTCAACCATAGTCAAAATTTCAAAATCTCGTTTGTTTTAACTAAATGGTTTATACTTATTTTTAGGCATTTTTCGATTTTAAAACCTGATGATGGACTGTGTGGTCCGAAAACGTTTGTTTTATTGATGTAGCCCTTTTAAGGGTTTTTTAAATAAATATACCCATTTACAAAGACTAACCTCTTTTTGTGATACGTGGTATACAGCCAGCTACAGAAATTTTTTTCCTTGTGGAAATATAAACATATTCTACTGTTTGATAATCTAGAGCAGAATAGTATATTTTTTGGATGGATGATTTCTCCCAGGGGGAGGAGGTAATCTTGTATTTTCGCATCTTCAATGAAATTAAAAATGATAGCTTGCCGTTTTGACGGAAATTTTTGTTGTGTTAGTGCGGTAGAGTAACTTCTTTGTGTAGAATTATCAATTTGAGAATGCCTGGTAAATTTATTTCATTGATTTTCGACATATTCGTTGATGTTTAAACATTCCTAAAGACGGACCTGTCCGCCGCCAGAAAAAAAACCGGCCGGAGATACAGGTCAATGGTAATTAAATGTTTTTGTTTATCGTCAAGCAAATGTAGATATGAAAATTTTCGGTATATAACGGTATATAACTCCCTCCGAAAGAATCATTCTCTCTAATGTTTGCCCATCCATTCCTCATGATGTATTAATTAAAGAACTTGATTCCATAGGGCTTGTTATTCTATCTACAATGTCCTTTTTAAAAATTGGTGCACCGTTACCCGAATTTAGTCATATAATGAGCTTTAGAAGACAAATCTTTATCAGCCCAACAGATCTCACAATTCCAGAATAGTTTTTAATTAATTACGATAATACTTCATATAGAATCTTTCTATCGAGCGGCAACCTAACGTGTTACAACTATAAATAAAATGGGCATACGGCAACTAACTGCAAAAATCCTATCAATCAAACCCAAATCGTACTTCTCCAACCACAGTAGAAGAAATCTCAACATGTAGCTCTCCAGAAATATCAACCATCACACCGACATCTACTTCAAGTCAAACAGACACCCCAACTACAGAAAATCAACTAAATATAAAACAAACTGCGAGCGAAACAACTACCTTACATACGAAAATTGAATCTTCACAGAACAGTTCAAAAAGAACTATTGACGATACCTTAACGCCACTGATGATACCACTAACAAACCGACGTTTACCAGTCCAGCAGAAATACCATTTAATCCTAAGAAAAAACAAATTAAAGGTAAATCTCTAGAAGCATTCATAAACCAGCAGTCACCACCATTTATTTTAAGCTATGTTCAGATAAAAGACCTATTCGACAACATAAAGAATTCACCCGATCCACTTACTACCGTTGAAAATTATACAAACAACTTTGCAGCTCTCATCGATATGTTAAGCAAAATATATCCCTATACTCAAGACAGATCTACAAAGACACGAAATACCAAATTAAGAAAAATTCTTATAAAACACTTACAGATGCAAATCCCACACGACCTAGTAACCGATACAGACAGCGACGGCTCACAAATCAATCCTTAAATAAATTTATTTATTAAAATAGAGTTCAATAAATTAATATAGTGGAATATCAACGGCTATTACAATAATTTACCTATGCTACAGATCATTCTTTCAGAACAAAATCCAGATTTTGTATGTTTACAAGAGACCAATTTTAAACAAAATCAAAATATAAACTTAAGAAACTATTTGTGTTGACTAAACTCACTACAATCTATAGGAAGAATATACCCAGAGAATCATATTCTTGAAAAAATCAAACAAAATTTGATAGAGATAGAAAATTGTAACAAGGAGGTAATCTTTATTTGGATCCCATCACCTATTAGTATTAGAGGTAATGAAGAAGCAGATAAGTGTGCGCGTGAAGCCATCAACTCAGCTAACTCTATTATTGTGAAATACGTGATAGCTAGTTTCAAGTCTTATCAAATCGCGGATCCTAAGTGAGTGGCAAAACCGGTGGGAATTTTCAGTGTCCAATCTTCGGAATATTAAACCGAACATTAAACCATGGATATGTTTCCCCACTAAAAGAAGGGATCAAGTGACAATAACTCGTCTTAGTGGGAGCACCCACCAAAGTGGCGTGGCAGTGGCAAGTAGCAAGTAGCACGCATCTAGCATGTTATTTTTAAATGTAACCAATGCAAAAACATTATTAGAATGAATGACGTCACTATCATTTTGGTGAGCGCTGAATCATTCGTTTTCATTGGTGACATTATGCTAGAACGCGTGCTACTTGCCACTGCCACGCCAGTTTGGTGGGCGCTCGCCCTTAGATTAGGTCATACCAGTGCCACGCACAAGCTCTCAATTACTAAAGAATCCGAACCAAAATGTGAGCAGTGTAACGTTAAACTCTCGGTGAAACATGTTGTTGTAGACTGTGCAGTTTTCTCCACAGCAAGAGTCAATTATGGTATCTCAATAATCTTAGAGAAAGCACTTGGTGCAAATTGTTCATTCACACACACAAAAAAAAAAATTAAATACATGAGAATGTGAAAAGGTGGAGGATTAAAGAACATTACAGCATGTCTGTTTGCCAATGATATAAATGAGTCCTACAATTTCATGCAGCTTCTTTCGTTTCACTCAAAGGTTGTCCGCTGTGTATATCGTCGTTAATATAATTTTTAGGTACATGAGCACAGCGGAAGATCTGGATATTTTAATTGATAAAAGAGCATATATGCTCACTTTTTTAAAACATATTTTAAATATATTTGTGAGTTTTTAGAGAAAACTAGATTAAATATCCCTATTAAGCAATTTAGACATTTCATTTCTTTTTACTCAACAAATTATGAAATTACAAAGAATATTATTATTAAAATTACTTACCCTAGTTTGGTCTATCATAAGTTGTAGATATGCATCTGCTTCAGAAACTTTGTTATCAAAATCCCTGATGGTCGGCGACGGATGATGGGTTTCATACCTCAACTGAAAAGAAGATATTATTTATTAGATAAAATATAAAAAGAGATATCAACAAATTAATGGAAAACCACACCACAAAAACTTATTTAATTTTTTTAAATTTTATTTTATGCCTTATTAGCGATAAGGTTTTTTCTTCTTTGAACGTGTTTAGATGATTTTTGCGAACAAAAACCGTTCTACACAAACTTTTTGTTATTCATGTGAAATAGTGTCTTAAATTGAACATAATTATTTTAAGTTCAAGTTTAATGAGCGTAGGCGCAAAATTTTTTGCCAATGCTATTTCAATGCATTTTTTTTTTTCGAATCCTGAGAAAACTAATAAATATTTTTAAACTTCAAAATAAAGTACACTTCGAAATTTCCATAATATGTCAAATTATTTTTTTGAAATTATATGTCGTCACTTGACGACATCGTGACTAAACGACTTAAGTAATAAACATTTTCACGGTTACTATTATATCTAAAAATAAGTCAAATAAAGAGATTTAGGCCTCTTTCCGGCCATCTAAAGAAACTAGATCTAGTTCATTTTAGGGCCTATATTGCAGAAGCTTTAATGTCATGTCGCATAGGAGCTAGAAAAATAGAGCGCCCGTCAAATGGAACTAAATCAGAACCATTGAACAATAAAAAGAATTAGGAAAACCGGCCTATTGATGATGTAAAGTTTGACAGGATAGAGCATTTTCCATTGCATGCAGAAACGAAATTTGAAGATGTAAACTCCCAGAATGTAAAGGCAGTTCCCGTATTCTTTGTCAAAAATGTAAAGTACATCTATGAGTGACAAAAAATGTAAAAATTATTTTTTACAATTTCATAAACCGAAATTTTGTTTAATATATTATAATCATTAAATTATGTTTTTTTTAAGTAAATAAATGTAATTTTATCCTAACGTATAGCTGTAATTATATGTCATACTCATTAGTTTGTAACCATTTAGTCACAATGTCGTCAATTGACGACATCAAAAACGGGCCTTATTTTAATAAAAAAATGGTAATATTCTTACCAAAAGACGTTAAGAATACCATAATTGGGTAGGAATTATTACCAAAATATTTTTCATTGCAATAAAAAAAAGCGTGACCGAATGGGTTAAAGTAACAAGTGTATGGTTTTAATGTTTGTTTTATTCCTTTAAAACCACAAATCCATTATGAAACACCTTGTATAAAATAGATAAGAGTGAAAAGAAAAAAAAGCATGGTTGATCCGCCACGTTACTGTGAGATTAATAAATATTTACTTTTTGATAACTACCCAATTAAAGCGTGTTCATTCAAGATGGAGGGATTAATTTAGTTTTGTCAACCAGTGTTGGCGCTAAAAATTTTAATACGTTGTGTAATTTACGAAATGGTAAAAACTCCAACACAAAAAGTGTTGTCCTACATAATAACCACTCCATAATAAAATTAGCATGTCCCTAAGCGCGTCAGACGGACAGAAGGGGTAAGTACGTGCTATGTATCAGCTCCCAATCTTCCTTTGAACCGTGTTGGTTTACTGAAAAACGATGGGATAGCAAGCATCCACGTAAATATACAGTTTTGCCCTATCCCAGGGATCGTAAACCACTAATTGATAGAACAATGAAGGGGGTACTTCACGTTGCGTTGGTTCTCGTCGAGAAAATTTAGATTTTGTCTTTTTTATTATGTATTTTCTATTTATCTTCACCGATGAAGAACGCCGCTCGACATTCTGTCAAATCTCGGCATAACACGAGCAATATATGCGCCGTATCGCAGCTAACATCATCATCATCATTTATCACGTCCACTGCTGGACATAGGCTTTCCTTAAACTCCTCCATTCTATACGATTTTGTGTTCTTTGTTGCCAATTTTTGATGATACACCTGATGTCGTTAGCCCAACATGTAGGTAGTCTTGCTCTACTACTTTTGTCTCCTCGCAGATAAACGCCTTATGCAAAATTCTTATAATCAAATAAAATAATTGTTTTTCAATATTTTTAGACGTACTGTATAATATACAGGTGCTTGTTACACGAGAAGCAATTATTCGATATATAAAAGGTTCTGCATAATACATTAATTTCCAAATTACCATCGGAAACCTCATTAAAAGTTGTAAAGACCAGGTCTGTGCCAAGCAACACCTGTTGATATTTATAAGCAACATGGATTCACAACTAGGTTACATAAAATATTGAATAGAAAATGGCTCAATATTCCGATCACCTTCGACAAAACCCCTACCTCACCGTTTAAACGGTCACGAGCTTGAGAGCTAAAGAAACCGAATAAACGCCTTTTGTTGACGTAAAATGGGAACCGAAGCAAGAAATCCTTGTGTCGTATTTTCATCTGGGGAAATCGTACAAGTTACTGTAAAATACGTTTGAATTTTGTTGGAAATAGAATTACATAGGTCGATATTAAGAAGGGCTTTTATTACCTTTGAAGTTCTTTGTGATAGATATATCTCAGGTATTTAATTAGGAAGCTTAGGAAGCCTAAAATTTGTAATTGATTCGAACTATTTCTGGATCGCGTAATTTAACATGTTAAGTTGGTAATTTTTTTATTTTACTGGTTACTAAAGATGTTAAATTTTATGAGATCAGGACATTATTATTATGTATGATTTTATTGATAAAAAAGTGTATTGGAGTCTCAAAAAACTCTGCGTTTAATTAATGTAACCTAACTTATCAAATATCCACAGCGATATGTCCTAGTCAATAAATCATCTTCTTTTTCTCTACCTGCCATATCCGCGACGGAGGTTGGTAATTCAAACGCTCCCAACTTTTTAGTAGTCGACGCGTTAAGTATCCATGCTTCTATCCCGTAAAGCAGTCGAGAAAATATAACACCTTAAACAATAAACAGCAATTATTCCTGCTATTTATCCCTCAAGAGCTCTTTTCACAATTTCTTCAGAGTATGCATTGAATAGTAGTGGTGACAATACACACCCCCGTCGCACTCTTGTTTTAATTTCTAACTCTTCTGATGTGTACTCATTAATGCGTATGTGTGCCTGCTGTATAAAATACAGATTTGTTATAATTCGAAGGTAATTGTATCGTAATTGTTTTGCTTTGAGGACGTCCATTTGTCCATAGCTCTTTGTGGCGCACTTTATCGAAAGCCTCATTGTAATCTATGAAACAGACGTACATATCTTAGTTCATATTGACGCATCTCTGAGCAGTACGTTGAATGCAAAGAGAGCTTCACGGGTACCTACGCCTCTACGGAATCCGAATTGAGTTTCTTCAATATCCATATCAAGTATTTGGTAAATGCGTTTATGGATGATCTTTAAAAACATTTTAAGGGTGTGGGACATTAGGCTTATGGTGCGGTGATCGGTGTATTCTCTAGCATTTTTCTTTTCTGGGAGAAAAATAAATGTTGAGGTCAACCATTTATTTCGTATATCACCCGACTGATAAATTTCATTAAAGAGCTCTAAGGGGACTTCCATGTACTCATTTACTATTATTTTAACGATATCAGTAGGCAGTTGATCTGCCCCCCGGGCTACAATATTTCTACCTTTGTAATTTCTATACTTGTCCCTCTATCCTCGAAAGATATGTCTTGTTGGTTTTTATCTTTCGACGTCGAAGAGCTCTTCCATATATTCTTTCTATCGTTTTAGATTTCGTTTCGTCAGCCGTTATCATAGTATTTTCATTTTTATCTAAAAGAGGTGTTTTTTTTTCTTTTTTACAGCCATTTTTTTAACCTTTTTATATAGGTTGAATAAGTCGTATTTGTACTGAAGATCGTCTATCTCTTTACATTTTTCCTCATTGTAAGTTTGTTTTGTCTCTCTTATCATTTTTCTTATTTCATTGTTAATGATTTTGTAATTGTTCTTGGCTTATCTTCTTTGGTCCAACCTGCTTCGTCGGGCATGCAGTTGTCACTCTTTCTTATCGGTTCTTACTATCTCTTTGCATTGAACAAGGAGGCAGTTTTTTAAATGTTTCCCATTGTTGGTTTATTTAGTAGGTGTTTTCGTATATTTTCTGTTGGAGTTTGTTTTTTATATCAGCTTCTTTTTGTTTTCTAACATCTAATTTTGGAGTTCTTTGACGTTTTCTAATACGTCTAAGTTTAAGCGTGACATTAGCGATTAGTGGGATATCTTTCGATGTGACATCTGCTTCTGGATATGTTTTATGTAATGATATGTAATAAATTATGGCAATGTTCAATATTAAAATAAATTCCGGAGTTGTCCAGAAAAAGAAGCTTAAAATAGGACAAAACCTCGCAAATTTTTTGGAAGAGACCGATTTGTATAACAATTTGGAATTAAGTTCAACTCTGACTCAACTTCAAAATCTATATTGTGCTGACGGGTGCCTATTATTTTTAAGGGTAAAAACTACCCCTTATTGCCAAAATCTATAAAAAAAAGCTTAAAAAGAGTGAAATTTACTGCTGCACGAACAGTAGTGTTCGTGCCGTGAATAGTGAACAGTGTAGTAGTGTCTGGGGGCTCGGGAGACTGAGACCTCGGAAGCCCTGAGGAAGGCATCAGAGAGGATGCCGAAAGCTTGGCAAAATGGACAACGACGCGGTTCAAACCCGGAAGACTGGTGAGTTTGATATTAATTTTAGTAATAATATTAATCTTAGCTCTAGGTTATATATATATATATATATATATATATATATATATAATATTATATATATATAAATATATATATATATATATATATATATTATATATATATATATATATATATATATAGAGTTGCCCAACAGTCTGGAAACGGCCAATTTCGGATACTAAGATTCCATATTTGATATTTGCAATGTTGCCAAATTTGTTATTTCACTTATATTATTAGTAACTTTGGTTTTTCAAAATTATCACCCTGTATATTCAGTCATTATTGGAATCTCCTATTCAATACGAGTTCAACCATATGTAACACTTATGATTTTATGTAGTCTGTAAGGTTTTAAATACATAAAACAAAAATCTGGCAACGCCTAATTGTCTCAATAAATTTTTTAATACTAACTATTTTCAACTACATTAAAACGTAACAATTAATAGATTACAACATTTTTTAACATAATGGTTACTTTATCCAGTGTTCAAAATGTGCTCCATTTGTGAGTTGACAGTACCCTAATCGATGGTAGACTGCGTCTACTACATTTCACCAAGATTGTCTAGAAACTATTCGAGATTCATCGATAATTCGTTGCCTTAGCTCTGCAAGATTTGCTGGTTGAGTTTTGTAAACTGAATTTTTCAAGTATCCCCAAAAAATAATCTTTAGGATTGAAATCAGGTGAACGTGGAGGCTATTCAGTTCTACATCGTCTACCAATCTATCGCCCGGGAAATATCTTATCTAAATAACGCCAAACATTTACACCAAAATAAGCTGGAGTTCCATCTTGCTGAAACCATATCTGATTAAAATTGACCCCAAAGAAGTTTCTCAGTGAAGGTACAATTTTATTTCTAAGTAACTATTTGATGGTAAATTTCCTTCGATCAAAAAATGGCCCAATTAACTGAGTATCTACTATACATGACCATACACTTAATTTTTGTCGTCTTTGAGTATGGTTTTCACGCATCCAGTGTGGATTTACGTTACTCCACTATCGATTTACACTTCCACACAGTGTAAAGGTTGCTTAATCGGAACAACTATTCTGTTTATCATTACCTCAGTAAACTCTAATCTACGATCGAAGTCATCTTAACGTAATTCTTGAAATAAGTTAATTTTGTATGGTTTAAATTTATTCTTACGCAATACACGTAAGACTGAAGAACGACCTACATAATGTACTTGTGCAATTCTGCGTGTATCTTCAACAAAACTTTGCATTATATCTAAAGTTTTGTTGTCATTCATAATTTTTTTCGGTCTACCTGATCGGTATCTATCTTTTACTTCTCCAGATTGCTCAAATCGCTTTACAGTTTTTTTTATACCGTGGTCTTATGAATAGGAGAAGTTTATGAAGTCTTATGAATAGAATAGTAATTCGTTCTTTTTCGTTAAGAGCCATTTTAGAGAAGCAATTTATCTTGCAAAACCTTTCGACACACAACTACTGTTGAATTTAGTTAATAATGTAAATGGTGAACAAATGTCAAAATCACAGCATTTTACATTTATATATTTAAATTTATTAATATCTACATATTTTGCACTGTTTTATGTATTTAAGACCTTCCAGAATACATCAAATCATAAGTGTTACATATGGCTGAACTCGTATTAAATAGGAGATTCCAATAATTACTGAATATACAGGGTGATGAATTTAAAAAATCAAAGTTACTAATAATATAAGGGAAACGGCAAATCTGGCAACATGGAACATATCAAATATGGAATCTCCGTACCTACCCCAAAATAGGTGTACCTTAAATTTTGCGACTCAGTAATTTATGAGATAATTGGTCGTTTCCAGACTTTTGGGTCACTCTGTATATTTACAATTTTATTATAATAATACAATTTCACATACAAATATTTGTAGATCATATAAGTAATATTTACCAATAAAATCTCACATACATTATTAAATGTTGTTGCAGTTTCGCAACTGTATATAAACATTTGTAAATGTACTAACAGACATTCTTAATAGTTTCTATTCTCCTCGTATATTTTAAACCAGATTTTCGTGTAAGTGACACAGCCATTTTAAGGGCTAAAGATTGCAAGGCGGGCCATCTGCGAAATATCAGCACATGTGTGTGTACCTAAAATAAGTGTTTGCGTTCCATACAAAACCAGAGTCGAATTGCATCTCTCAACCGATGCACAAGTGTATGTTGAAGACGAAGAGTACCTGATTCCGCATCGGCCAAGAAAGACGCTAATGTGCATCACAACTTTTGGTAGTTGAAGTGTCGCTGAAGACATAATTTGCGATAGCGTTGGGGCTATCTTTTTCATGGGGTAAGAAACACTACACCATATTAATTTGTTGCTGCATATATTAAGTAGCACTTGGTATATTTATTTGATATTTGGAACTTCATCGTATTTGTGCCGAGATCGAGATTGAACATTGTTAATTGGACATTTTGCATTTGTTTCGGTTTATTTACTGTATTGTATATTTTTTTGTGTATTTTGTTAACACCGATTTTATTTCTTGTATGTTTTGTTTTAATAATTGTACTTAATTATTTGTATGCATCGCATTCTTAATTAGTTTTTACAACGTTAAAATATTATATCCTTATTTAGGTTGATTTTTTTTTGTAAGATTATTAATTTATCTTATATCTTTTTATGTATAGTATGTTTGCGGCTATGGCAGCTTTTGTCTTTTGTTTTGTCAGTGGTTTTTTATAGAATCGACATTTTTGTTTTGGTTGGTTTATGGTTGTCTTTTGGTGTGTCTGTTGGTGTTTCTTAGTAGCTAATAGTTAAGTTTGTAATATATTCTTCTTCTTTAATGTAATATATTCTTCTCTAGTTATAATGGTAAATTTGGTTATCTATATTTATGTTTAATTTTACAGCTTTTTAAAATAGAGTTTTATACAGTCCGCTGCCTTTCATTTCTCTTCTTTTATTTGAATACACATACCCATTTCGAAAGGGGGAAACCAGCGAGTTCTAGATTGAACAGAATATCTCTCCCCCTTCAGGATGTATGACGTATGTGCAGAACGCAACAAATGTTATTATTTATATGCTTTCAATAAATATAATTTCTGTAAAAAAATAATTGTTTAATAACTTTTTTGCATACTTTGTTAATACGTATTTAGGCTCAGGCAAAGTTTCCATGTATACGTGTATACCATAATCACTGCATGTTCTATTCATATTTTCTGTTAAAAGTTGAAGATGTTCGGATATTCTTGCCATAACAAGTATAGCATATCGAATGTTATTTATGACTTCTTCAATGACGATTATTCCTTCATTTACATTTGATAGAACTTCCTAGCAAATGTGTTACTTTAGTCGTTAAACAGCAAAATACACGTCAAAATACACCCCTGTCTTATTTCTCATCTACCTTATTTGTCTGATATTTAATCTTACATTTGATATGATTCTGATTCCAATATATATCCAGGATATCGATATCATCACTTAACGTTATTAATAATCAACATAGTCTCTCCCACTTCAATTATTTTGTAATTTCGTATGTGTTTATTTATTCCAAGAACTATACGTCTTACTTTTCCATTACGCGCCAGTGCTGTCGTATCCATTAAGTTTGTTCTTCCACTTTTACTTTTTTCAGAATTCCAACAATAAGTTATGCGGCTCAAACCAACTTCAACACAGAATGAGAAAGCGTAATAATGAGCAGTATACTTTGCTTCTAACAACTCTAACAATACGAAATTTCAAAGTGGAGCTGTTGTATATTTCGTCGAGCGTAGGATCCGGTCCGCTCATTAGTTTTTTTAAGTTATTTTTCCATGTTAGACTTTTCACAGCAGCAAACTAATTACATTGTTCTGGTGATATGTATTGCGACAAAACAAGAATGTTTATTTTGTACTATTCGTTATTTTTGCTAGCAAAACTAATGGCTTGGTATATACAGGGTGAGCTTTAACCTGACGTCACCCAGGTAAAAAATGTGTGTATAATAACCCAAGTAGGGTATTATTGATCCCATTTAAAATTGATTGGAAACTCAACAAACATTTCGAACTCGAATTTATTTTTTAAATATCTTTTTTTTATTGAAATTAACGTGTCTCGTCATATGTATATATATATATATATATATATATATATATATATATATATATATATATATATATATATATATATATATATATATATATGCTGTCTCACTTGCCATTCTCAAGCCTGGTGGATCTACTTCTCGTCGTTACTCGATTAGTAATGGTTTTTTCTGTTCAGAAAAAACAAACAGCGAGACCGCCAGACAAGGCCCCGCCCACTCGCACACAGGCAGGACCAATCACAAGAGCCCGCGCGCCGCCGAGAGAGTATTTAAACGAGCGCCGAAATGCCCAGTCGACCAGTACTAATCGAGTAACGACGAGAAGTAGATCCACCAGGCTTGAAAATGGCAAGTGAGACCTTGCCGAAACGTCAACAAATACGTGAAAAACATTACGGACTCCGTATAATGTGTCCATAAATCGCTCGAGTCCGTTGTGTATGGTCAAAACCTTAATGCAGAGTCTGCAATATTAGCAGGATATATATAGATAAATTCGTTAAACTTCCCGTGTTCGAATCGGTATCAATAAAGTGTTATGACTCATTTCGGCCTATCCCAGCCTCATGAGACACTCGGGCTGATAGAAATTCAAACTCGGAAAGTAAAACGAATGTCTCCTAAAGCTTCACCACCGCAGTGGTTTGCGTGCAGAGGCGCCACCTCTAAAAGCAGGACATCGGATATCCAAACTTGAAAAAAGTTAGGAGTCCCGAAACTGGATATATTCGTCGCAAATGCGATGAAGATGATCTAAACAAAAAAAAAATTAAGCATTTATCGCACGTTTGTTTAGTTTTCCGGTCAGATTTTCTGGTAGACTTTTGATACCGTCCATGTCCGTCCCCTACGTTGCTTTTTCGGTGGAGCTTGGTCACTTTCTCCCAAAACCTGAACTATTTTGGATCGTAAATGTTTTGTAAGTTGCGGATTACTTTTTCGTTCTTCCATAATTGGCGTAATTGCGACATTGGTCAATAATTCGACAGAATTTGAGAATATGCCGAATTCTACAGGATGAATAAGTTTATTTACGTTTCAATTTTCACTTCGGAAATCGTTATTTCAAAAATTTATAGATGACTAATCTGAGCAAAGATTTGAAAGACCAAAAATACTTACCCTATTGCCGTGTCTAATAATCGTTTCTTCTAAAGCATGCACCCATTTTTGCCGTTCTTCCGCGTCTCTAGCTTGGAAGTGAAAGGTCTTGTGATCAACGGTAACTGTAAACGTGCTGTCATCTTCGTCGTCGATACCGATAACCGCCCCTTTTAACCGAACGCAGCCCCTCCGAACGCCACGCATCATTTTTTCTTTAGACTGAAAAAAAAAGGAAAAGCTTAAATAAATAATTGTAGTCTTAAGCCATATTTAAATAAAAAGGTTTAGTGTATTAGCGGGTAGTGAATTATGGTAGGGTTTTAGTGTATTAGGGTAGGAGAAGCGTAGGAAGAAGGCGCGTTTCCTGATTGAAGAACCTGAGACAGTGGTTTGGTTGCAGCTCAAGGCAACTGTTCTGAGCAGCTGCCTCGAAGGTCAGAATAGCCATGATGATTGCCAACCTTCGTCGCGGAAATGGTACTTAAAGAAGAAGTGTATTAGTTATGCCTTAAGGTCCTGGCGGTTGGTTGCGACGTATAATTAATATTCACTGGAACAGAAACTTAAAACCTGATAATCCTAAAATGGGAAGTCAAAAGTATATGACACTGTTTGATCTGATTTTTGCATCTTTCGTGAATAAGTAAAGTTACACCTTTTTAGACCCTTTTTTCTTTTGCTACTTCACTGTAGATTAGTATACGTTCACCTAATTTTGATTCCCCTTTTACTTTTTTTGTTTCCTATAGAGCGTATATATGTATATCTGTTTCTCATGCAACAGTCGAATTAGATTATTCAAAGTGTTTTGTTATAATTTATTATAATAAGGTCTCGACTAAAACGAATACCCAATCAATAATTGACTCTTTTCTCGTATTGTTACTAGCAATATCTACTACAACCATCCTGTATATTTTTAACTTATATAGAAAATATTAATTTTATTGAGTGTTAAATCTGCTCTGCTAATTTTGTACCAAAGTGATATTGTGATTACTGTTTTGAACGAACATGCAATTGTTTGAAGACTTTTTACTCTAAATCTGTAAGTCATATATGAAGTTTTTATTTTTATTCAGAATTATACTTATATTGTAGTTTTCTCTTTAGAAATAATTTTATTTCCGAATAACAGATATTATATATATATATATATATATATATATATATATATATATATATATATATATATATATATATATATCGCACATCTAGTTCAATAGTGCCACAAGTCCAAAATACAATAATTTCGAGAAATGAGGCAAAACGTTCTGTAGCAAACGAGTTATGCCTTGTAAATAATTTATTTTTAGAATGACTGGCTTCAAAATTACAATTTAGTTAGCAAATAATACAGTTATTCGCTGGATCTTATTACAATTTATTAAAAATAAAACGTTAATTGTATTTTGATAGTTATGGCGATATTGCATTGTGAAGAAAGTCATTTATAAAACGATAAATAGGAGATACGGCGGCAACATAATAAACAAAAATCAACAAGTTCTTACAAAAAATATTTTTATTATTATTATTACTAATGTGTATGAATATTTTTTTTTAATTACTATGAACCAACCTTATTTAAATTGTGATGAACAGGTAATATTAAGTTTTTATTGCACAGTTCCAAAAGGTGTTGCTTGGTTTTTGCGGATATCGATGGAGGCTTTATGTACGCCTTTTTTAAATCGATTACTGCTTCCACAGTTGCTGAACGACCCTTGTCGATGCTTTAGAATGGACCTCTTCGAACTCATCGGCATTATAATCTGTTTTATAGAATAAAGATCCAGGATTGCTTTTGATAACTTTAATAACTTGGATATCATTCCAGACTACCTTTTCATCTTTTGTATTCTTTGTAAAATTTCCTCCAATTTTTGAATTGAGATCTTTAAAGTCATAAAAGTCTTCTGTTGACATTTCTTTTACATTGTAAGGATTTCCCTCTTTTTTTGCAGATCTTATGATGACAGACCATTGTGCAGGAACATAAATGGGACCTGTTTTAAGTATTTTCTTCTTTTGCCTCTCAATAGTTGCGTGCATGGCGTCCCCTTCATTTTGGATATGTCCCACTGTTAAAAATTTATGTGTGATTGATTTAACATTAATTTTTCCAATTGCATAGAGATACATGGTAACTATAAATTTATTTTTATTTTGTCCAACACAATTGTCGCTATAAAATATAACGTCTTTATCATTATAATGATTTGAAAGATAATCAAACAGACACGTAGCTATTTCGTTTGAGCCGCGGTTAGCAATAGCCTCGTGCCAAAAGTAACAGTAACCAGTCTTTTGCAATATCTGAAAAATTGTAAAGTTGAAGCAGTTCAGGCGGCATTTATAGTAGAAGCTTGAAACATCTCAACAAGGTGTAGGAAGGATCGCCTGCAAATCAAAACAAGCTACCAATACTTGAGAATCATCTTTTGCTCTTGCTAGACTTTTGCTTTTTCTTCTCTGCTTCTAATTTTATTATGGATATGTTTATTATAAGTTTGATGAAGAATAGCTTGCTGTTCAGCAGAAGAATTTTTATATGATTCACAAATTGCGCACTGATCTTTTTTTTGGCTGAAAGAAAGTTATGTTAAACTCAGTTTTGAAAATATGCTCGTAAGTGCATTTTTTAGCCACAGGCCTTCCTTCACTCTCTTCCTGTAGTTTGTAGTAGCGATACATTTGAGCTAAAGTAAGTGAACCATCTATGTATTCCTTTCTAGTTTGTGCTCTAAGATAATGTGATTCTACCCTTTGGAAAGAATTTATGTGTTCTCTTATTTTATTTTTTACCGGTCCAGTAACCGTTTCTCGTTTCATAAAAATATACCTGCTCTATGTAATTATCTTGGCGAGGGTCTGTATGTAGATTTTCTTGATCTTCAAATGTATTTGCGGTATGATTTGATTGCACGGGTAACGCAACCGGAGTAAGCTAAAAAATTACATACATTTTTGTATTATAATATATAATATATATAATTTGATTTTTGTTGAAATACAAACCTCCGTCAACACAAAGGAGATGTCATTCATAACCTCAGAAACCTCTGAATTATCTCTCAGATACTCATCATCTTTAAGATAGCTTTGCAAAGCTAGTCTAAGCATTTTTCTTGCCCTTGACATCGTGTTTGATAATAAAGTTAATATTAATATCACTATACACTGTTTTCAGACTTTAAATCAAATAGTTGTACACTAAAAACGTGTATACCTCGTGCATAAATAATTGAGAACTGATAAAATTGTACCACTAATCTAACAATTTTTGCAGTTGTGGCCGTATTGAATTACATCGGTTGTATTGTGGCGGAGTGTGTTATCGCCACATTTCCTAGTTATGGCCATATTGCATTTCAAAACCCTACAGTGTAATACCGAAATATCTTACTTTATACTTATCCTAGACAATATTTCAGTTAAGGTTGTATTGCATTAGATGGGGTATTATATATGCAACCTTTTTAAAGCCTTAACTCAAAATTGGAATTTTTGGAGTTGTGGCAGTATTGAACTAGATGTACGATATATATATATATATATATATATATATATATATATATATATATATATATATACATGCAAATACTTAGCTATTTATATATAGTGCGTAGTCCTTATCGCAATTAGTTTTATGTAAATTAAGTAAAATGCATACTTATACGAAAAATATTTTTCATATTTTAAATATGTTTACATACACTGCTCTATGTCTAATTCAAACAAATAAAAAATAAGTAAACATATCGAAACAATTAGAAACAAAAAAAAGTCTAGTTCAAATTTTAAAAATTTTTTGCCAAAAAATGGATTGTAATAGAATATGTATTCATTACCAACATAAAAAACCTAGGTCAAGAAAATTAGGAAAAACGACAATACAAACGAAACTTAATGGTAGGAGACCAACAAATTGAAAGATTAACCAATACAACCAAGAGAACTGCAATATATTGTCCAGATAATGATATGGTTGGTTCGAAAATGCAGATGGTTTCAAATGCAATGGTGGCCAGTTTAACGAAATATTTCATCAAGAAACAGCTATGGAGTGGTGTTGCAATATTAAATAATTTGAGAAGATGGTGGCTTCATACATGGAAACATATTAGCTGATGTCTCTAGATACCACTCTCGGAGGTTTCTGATCCAGGATGTTCTTCTTTGGCCTGGGCCTCTTCTTCCGGCGATCTTGCTCTGTAATATGAAATGTAGAAGGTTTTGGCTCTCTAGATATCTCATTACATGGCCGCAATATAGTAACTTTGGAATTTTTATTGTTTTTGCCATTTCTGTGCTCTTTTTCATTCGGTGTTAAACTCTTTCATTTGTTATTTAATCAACCCAACTTATCCGCAATATTCGTCGGTAAATCCAAATCTCAAAGGCCTCAAGTTTTTCCATTAATGTTGTTGTAAGAGTCCAACTCTCCATGCCATATAGCAATGTGGAGAATACGTAGCAGCGTATTCATCTGATTTTAAGGTTTAATGTAATAACTCTATTAATGAGAATTTTCTTTAGTTTGTAGAAGGCTGCTCTGGCATTTTCAATATGTAGTCTTATTTCTTTGCTTATATCCCAGTTATCGTTAAAATTGGCGCCCAAATTGATGATATTGTGGATTCTTACGAACACTATTCCATACGTTCTGATGTTCATTGGTTATAACTATGTTTTGATGAAAACCATAGAATTTGTCTTAGAAGTATTAAGCTTAGGCACTTATTTAACATATGTTTCATCCACCCTGTTTAAGTCGTTGGAACTCTTTTTAATTGGATACAAGTAATACCCTCTCGTCTGCGTATCTGAAGCTGTTGACATCCTGTCAATTCACTAATCCCATTAATTTTAATACCTGCATCTTCATTTAAGGATTCTTTAAAAATAAATTCGGAGTAGATATTAAAAAAACACCCGTCCCTCACTCCACGTCGTATTTCCACTGATTCCGTGGTATTCTGACCAATTCGTATGTTTACATATACAAATTTTTGATAATACGGATGTCTTGGTCATCAATTTCCATCTGTTTCAAGGCACCTATCAGTTTGTCGTGGGCGACCCGGTCAATGCACTTTTCGAAATCGATAAAACACATATTTACTGATTGTTCTATATTCCTACATCTTTGAACGATGACCTGCTAACTGAATAATGCTTCTCTGGTTCCAAGGCTGTTTCTGAAACCCAACTGTGTTTCGTTTAGGTGCACTTCTATTTTGTTGTAAATTTTCGATTGCCGTATTTCGGCAAATTGTTTAGTTTTTTTCGAGATCATTACAAATGTTGACAGTAGCCAATCTGTTGGTATATGCCCTGTTTAGTATATTATTGAAGAGGTTTGGAAGAAAACGTTTGCCTTAATCGTCGAGTAGTTTGATTATTTAGCTGGAAATTTTCTCTGGTATATCTGGATAGAACCCTACTAGTTACAATTTTTTATTTTTAGCATTTTAAGTTAACCTTTCCCAAGACCTGGCGATGAGTAGCAGATTTTAGTGCTCGAAACCGATCGTACAAGGTTAAATAAATAGATTGTGAATAAGTTTAACACTTTTTTCTCCAAACCCAATTTAACAGGAATATTTTATATTTAAAACCACAAAATAATGAATTACTCACTTAAACAATAAATGAAATTTAGTTTACTACTACTAATAGTTTCAAGAAAACAAAAGGTTTAAAGTTTTGAACCAAAATACTAACCCCATAGGCAACCAAAATAATGTACAGAAGGACCAATGAAAGGCAAGACCAGTACCTGCACACAAGAAAAATTACACTTTCAGAAATGAAAAATAATACATTCCCTGGCGATGATGGAGTAGTGATCGAGACGATCAAACTAGGTGAAAGAAAAATGGTACTACAGTAGGTTGTACTGTAAACTAGTACGAAGCTTCACACTATGTTTTCTGTATTTTTAAAGATATTTCATAGATATAAAAATTCAACTTCTAATGTTTTACTACCCTTTTTGTCGCACTTTAATACAGTAGTCGAACTGATAATAGTAAAAATCCCACATTGTATTATTTGAAATTATTTTAAAACGAGAGGTGTCATAAAAATTTCAAATTTTGACCGTTCGACAATCATTACAAATATAATTATAGTATCGATCTTTTATTTTTCTGGTTGTTTTATATTTTTTATTTATTTATTTTTTATTGGCAGATTTTTTTTACCCTTTATTTAATATCTGCTTAGAATAAATATACGATAATTAGAAATTAATTAATGAAGATTAAACGATTATCGATAATTAGTTAATTGATGTGAAGACCGTTATTTCGTATCGCTACTCGTAGCGCTTCTTCCGTGACGCTCGCCTCAGACTTGTACTATAAATAAATAATACAACGCCAATATAGAAGCATCGCTTCAATAAAATTATCCAGGCTTTGGCCCAACCTTTCAACAAATGCATCTAGCAAGGAAAAATTTCTCAATGAAACAATACAGTCATTGTTTTATTTCACAAGAAAGGAGACATAGCATATCTAAATAACTACTGTCAGTTTCCCATCATATTTACATTTTTCACAAAAAATATCAAAAAAAGGCTGAAGGCTAAGTTACACTTCTATCAGCCCAGAGAACAAGCTGAATTTAGATCGGGATACAGCACCATCACCATTTACTAGTGATGAAAAACCTGATAGAGAAGTCTGTAGAATACCTACAACAAACCTGGCACTGATATTTGTTGACTACTAGAAAGCATTCGATATTATAACCTAGCAGAAAATGCTAGAAGCATTAACTGCATGTCGAATGGACCATCGCTACATTAACATAATCCAACATATCTACCAAATTGCCATGTCTAGCGTAAGACTATCTGAACAAGAAACAAATAAATTATTCTGTATACAGCGAGAATTCTGGACGACAAATTAATAACGGATAATATAAAAGTTAAACGAGGAGTCCGACAAGGCGATATAATTTCACCTAAACTGTTTACCTTGACCCTCGAAGACATAATAAAATCAACAGATTGGGAAAACAGAGGAATATGTATTAACGGAAAGTACCTAAATCACCTTAGATATGCGGATGATATACTCCTGATCTCCTCGGAACGACAAGAACTGGAATTAATGCTGAATGAACTTCATGAAAAATTACTGCAAAAAGGCCTAAAAATTAACTTCAACAAAACAAAAGTAATGACAAACACGGAAGACCAAGAGGCAATAAAAATAAAAACAGAAAAAATAGAACAGGTAAATGAGTATATCTATCTAGGACAAGCAATCAGAGCTAACAGAGAAAATCAAACAGCCGAAATATCGAGACGAGTAAGAATGGGATGGGAGCGTTCGGCAAACTTTCTTTCGTTCTAACAAATCAAACAATCCCTCTATACTTACGAAGCAAGGTATATAACTCCTGTATAATACCGGTGCTCACCTACGGAGCACAGACATGGACATTTACACAGGCCAATTTGGATAAGATAGGGAAGGCACAAAGAGCGATGGAGAGACAAATGTTGGGTGTATCACTTAGAGATAGAAAACGTAACTAGTGGATCAGAACCAGAACAAAGACAGTAGACGCGATAGAAAAAGCAGCAAAACTGAAATGGAAATGGGCTGGACACAATGAACGTCTCCAAGACGGATGATGGAACAATGCCATCGGAAAGTGGCGTCCATACAATGCAAAGAGATCAAGACAAAGCAGACCACAGATGAGGTGGAAAGATAACATCAGGAAACAAGGAGGGCCCACATGGCAGAGAACAGCTCAAGATAGGGAAAGATGGAGAGAACAGGGGGAGATCTATATCCAACAATGGAAGGATAGAGAATAGGCTAAAAAAAAATACAGCGAAGAGTACGGCAAGGAAACACTGTCTCTCTAAAGCTTTTCACAAGACTCTTAAAACATTCTAGTAAGAACGCTCATCTGAAATAGTATGAGATCAGTATCAACATAAATGAAGAGAAGCTATGTCAGTTCAGATTCGCAGATAACATCGTTCTTATAGACGATCGTATGGATGGTGATAGATAATACTTATTGTCGAGTGGAGGCCAAGACAAGAAGTACTACACTAACGACCTGACGCGTGTTACTAGTAACTGGATGCAAGCCTCAGAAGACAGATGGAAAGCTTGAGGGAGACTTATGTTCAGCAGTAGATGCGTAAAGGTTGATGATGATGATGTATCCATTGTTGATTCTGATGTTCAATCCCATTGACCAGAGGTTAGCCTTTAAATGATTAAAAGTTTCACCAATTTAAATTACCTCAGCGTTGACTAGTAAAAGTTTTCTCCCAATTGCTACGGGCAGTGTATTAGAATATAATAGAATAGTTAATTATATTAAAAATAATACTGCTGCAACAAAAACTGCTGTGCAAAACATAGTGTAATTATTGTTGCAAACATAATTTGCAGACCGTAAAAACAGGTGCCGTCGGTGCTTACTAATTGTTTTATTGCCAATATAAAATCACACTCAAAAAAGTCCATTGAGAGTTACAGTAGTCGTTCAAAATGGATTACCTTACTAGAAAATATGAAGAACTTATGGAAAAGCATTCTGGTAACATATTAAATTTTTTTATTTGTACATTTGTAAATATTTTGGTTGCCGTTTTGTATCAACGAGGATTTTTTCTTACTAGAATGAATTGTTTGTACCTATTAATTCACTGATTTTTTTAGTCTAATCTTAGGACATATTTAAAGTCACTTCTCAAAATTTGTCGCACTTGATGTTATAAGAACTTACTAATATAATTATTTATAATATTGATATTATCAGGATTCTTAGAATAAAGTGTTAACCAGTCAATAATACCTTCATAGATTTCTTATCTATTAGTATCTCTATTTTGCTTCTCTTTGATAACCATTCAATCAAAGTTAGAGGTTATTACGGGAATTATTAATTTCCTTATCTAATCAGCCAGTAAAATCTAAAAACCCTTCCTTTTCAATCCCGAATAATTCGAAACTCTCGGACAAAAACTTTTACTGCCAACGGAACATCTATGTAGGTAATTATTTGGTTCAAATATTATTATCTATCGCTTTATAACTGGGACTCCCTTTTCCTCCGGATCTACGCGCTTTAATTCCCTGTATTCATCTCAATTTTTAGTTCGTCATTCTTTTTCTTTCATTCAAAAGTTTCTATAGGCCTGAGCACCTTTTTTTACTTTTATTATCTTTTGGATATTCTCTCCCAAAATAACTATTTTCCGTAAAGTTCTTGTTTATTTTCTTTTATTACGAATTGTTGTTGTTCTTGACTAAATTCTAGTCTAAATTTACTTCGTTCTATTCCTCTCTCAATTTCCTTATGACAAAATTTATCATCAGAGCAAACCCATCCATCGTTGAACAACCTCATGATGAAAATCCTGAACTCCTCAAGTCTCTTCCACTCCGATGAAATTGTAGTGTCATATTTTAAAAGTGCTCTTGATATATCGCTGGATTCTGCGATTATTCGCCCGATTACTTTTCAGCTATTCCCATGCGATGATAGCTTCGTATTATTTTATTCGTATAGAGAATACATTCCCCTTTTGGTCGAAGATCTTCATTCCCTTGGAAGTTTTTTTGAACATTAAAGAGGGAATTACTATTGTAATGCGAATAAGCCACATTGAAAATTAAAGTAAGTTTATTGACGTTTCAATTTCCACTTCGGAAATCGTTCTTTTGTTTCTATCTTCGTAAAAATTTGATCGCATTTTGACAATGTGCCAGTTTTCCAATCAAGAATTTCCAATCTCTGAAAATTTTTAATAACGCTTGGCATAACGGTTTCTTATTATTGGTCTAAAGCTATTTTCTTGTGGCATTTAAAACTAATTACTATTTTAATGGGAAAAAGCTACAATTGAAGGTTAAAGTAAGTTTATTGGGGTTTCAATTTCCGGACAAGAACGATTTCCGAAGTGGAAATTGAAACGTCAATAAACTTACTTTAACCTTCAATTATGGCTTATTCCTATTAAAATTGTAATTAGTTTTAAATGTCGCAAGAAAACAGCTTCAGTACAAAATTAAAAAGATAGTATAAAATCTTCTTTTTTGTAAATTGGTACATTTGATTAAAAAAATATATATAATCAAACGTTTTCGGTCTTGTCAGACCATCATCAATGATAATCTTGGTACATTTGTAAATATGTAGCTCTTAGTGGAAATAGCGACGACTGTGTCACTATTTACAGTCTAACTAGCGCGCCAACTCTTTCTTTCATTTAACAACATATTCAAATATTATTTCCATTATTTTGGTTTTATTGATGATTATCTTTTTGTTCATTTGGTTCCTTATCTTCTTTATAATTATACAACTTTCTGCACGTGCACTTCAATCCAGGTAGGTATTTATTCTTCAGCAATTTCTTTAGTTCTTCTTTTCTTTTATGTTCCTTATGTTGTTTATATACCTTTATTTTTCCTTCTTCTTCTTCTTTGGGTGCCGTGTCCGTATTCAGACGTTGGCCGTCATCATGTTTACAATTTCCTGAAACCTTTCTCTGTCGGCTGCTGCGCGAAATAATTCTTCTACTGTGAAACCACACCATTGTCTAAAATTACGCAGCCATGAAAGTTTCTTTCGACCAATCCATCTCTTTCCTTCTTAATGTACCTTTAATTCGCGATTCTATCAATATTTATTTAGTTTATTTGGTTTATTTCTTATAAATGGTCCGTAACTTAAAAGGCGGCATCACCCAAAACATCATTTTTTTGTTTATATCTAGTATTAAGGATATTTAATATTTTTGTTGGGGAATAAGCCAGCTTATTTTAAAATACGTTTATCTGACATTTCGATTTCCACTTCGTAAATCGTTCTCAAAATACAAAACATTAATACTTAAATAAAATAAATTTTGTTTTTGTTATTTGGTAAAAAAATTCTTGTAATAATTATGACTCATACTCATACATATGACACTAATAATTATTTCATGACTCATTCTTATTTACAATTCAGTTGGCTGTTACCTCTCAGGGCATAAGGTTCCCTTTTTCGAGCCAGGAAATTGTACGTTTCCTTAAAAAATGTAATCTTTTATCATCGATCTTCTTCTTCTTCTTCTAATGGCGCTACAGCCCTTTGTGAGTTTTGGCCTGCTTAACAATCTTTTTCCATTCCGTCCTGTCGGACACTTTCCTTCACCACTGCCTGATGGTCATGGTTTTAAGATCCTTCTCTACGTCGTCTATCCATCTTTTATGGAGCATTCCTCTTATTCTGTTTCCTTGGGGCTTCCATTAGAGCTCGATTATCTTGGATTCTTTCTAGATGACAAAGCCAGTTTAGTCTTTGTGACTTTTTAAATCTAACAATATCTGCGCTCTGCATTACTTCATCCAGCTCGTGGTTCACTTTAATTCTCCACGAACCACCGCTGCATTGGGTTAGTCCAAATATCTTCCTTAGTATTTTGCGCTCAAATATTCTCAGTTGATTTTCGTCAGTGGTTGAGGGGGTCCACGTTTCACATCCATATGTGACCACTGGTCTAATTACTGTTTTGTAGATTCTAAGCTTAGACTTACGATTCAGTAACTTACTTTTCATTAAATCTTTGTATACATAAAAGCTCTTATTACCGTTAAAAATCCGTACTTGTATTTCTTGACTGATGTTGTTGTCATTTATTATTGAGCCTAGGTAGGGAAAAGTGGAGGCATATTTGTAGGTATGGTTATCTACCTTCAGATTCTCATGTTGATTCGATTTTGTGCACTCCATATATTTTGTTTTGCCTTTCATTTATATAAAGACCAAACATAGTAGCTTCTCGTTTCAGTTCTATAACTTTTTCGCTTAAATACCTATTTATTCTGGCTTATCATGGCAACATCATCCGCATATGCGCATATTTGCATTGATCTTGTATTAATACAGCCGTTTATATCCAGTTTTCTAACAACAGCTTCTAAAGTTAGATTAAAAAGTGTTGTTGATAAGACATCACCTTAATATCTATCACCGTCTAACTCTATTTTCAATATCAAAGGCCTGCGTCATATCTACATTTATTCCTCCATATCTTTGGAACCCTCTAGTGTCTAGTTGCTTTAACCCTTTGACAAACACCGTAAAAATTTAGCACAATACGTAAAACACACTTGCAAATTTATCAGTACCATACTGATATGAAGTACCATACTGATATGAAATACCTCATATTTAAGACAAAAAATACACGACGGTCACAGCCGTCTTTTCCGAATAATGGTCTTATTGGACAAGACGGTAATGACCGTCGTATTAAACACATACTATAAGAAATTGTAAAAAACAAAATAAAAAATTTTGCTAGTTCAAGTCCTGATGCCACTTTTGAAAACATAATCCAGGGCAAAATGGTGGATTTTCATTACAATGGTGAATGCATTACACGGATTTCCCAGTACTTGCACTACTGTGGGAATCCCACAAAATTAGAAGTATTCTTATAGGACACTGCATTCTCATAGATAGGAAAATGTAGGAAAACACTTATATTCATCGTCGGTCGGGACCGTCTTGACTCTGAGAGCGATTCAAATAGCGACTACCATGACCATCTTTTCCCAGCCAGAATACCGATAATAAACTGACGGCCAGGACCGTCTTGTCCGTGAAAGAGTTAACATCTTTTGTCGATCTACTCCATCAAACGTCTGTTTCAATTCGATATACAAGTTGTAAATAGGTATATTATATTCAACACATTTTTCATGTATACCTCTTAACATATGTATTTGGTCTAAAGTTGACCTCTTTGGTCTGAAGCCACATTGGTATTCACCAATCATCTGCTCCGAAAACGATTCCATGCGGCTGTATATAATTAATGATAATATCTTGTAGACGACATTTAAAACTGTTATGCCCCTATAATTTTTGCAGAGCCGTTTGTCTCCCCCTTTGTACATAGGAAGTATGATTCCTACTTTCCAATCTTCTGGGATGACTTCAGTTTTTCACTGATGATGATCTGATAGGATCGAAAACGTTCCAAAAATTTATAAATCCATTTTGGATAATTTTTAAAAAAATTAATAAAATTTTAAAGCATTTTACAAAAAAAGTTTTACTTCATTCCAAGTTTTTTTTAAACTATGATATATAACCAACCACTGTGAATTTCCCTTTTTAATTTTATAATGAATCCTCCTGGTAGAAACAACATATATCATTAGAAAAAGTCTAACATCACATGCCACAACTTTTTAAAACATGACTCATAAAAAAAATTAAACAAATTATAACATCGATCTTCATATTAAAAATAATTGCACCTACGGATTACCTTTTTATTAATATTTTTAACCACTATAGTACCATTACCTTATTATCCTTGAACTATACTTATATTTTTTTGTTTTCGATAATAAATTTGAATTATTAAATTAAAAAACTTTATTTTCATACCTTGGTAATTATAAATTAATTATTTTATTTATATTAAATTCCATTACATTAGTGATATTATAATGAATGGAAGTACCTACGCAATATTCCTATGATCAAACACGAATATAAAATTCCACTAGGAAACTAAGTTCCTGTAACTGGCTGTACCATGTATCACAAAAAATTTATTTAAAATTCTTTATAAAAGGTATAATAATAAAAAGACCCAATCGGAATATATCACAAAACGTTTCGGAATCTATATTTCATCATTAGTATATCTAGGTGTACATGTTTTGAGCCACTAAATATTTGGGTAAAAGCCCGTTAAATTTTATTAGTTAAATTTAGGTTACATTATTCGATCTTATATGTTAAGATGTTATAGTTACCAGTGGAATTGATAAAATGGCAACATAAGACTCTACATTAGATTGTTGGTACTGAAACAAAGTGTCTACGAGGACTTGTTGATAGCAACTGATTGGTATTAACAAGTCCTAAAAACTATCGAAAACATCTACCAAAATTGATAGCAGATTTAAATATAACATTTGTATGGGTCAAAGGTCATATAGGTATACTAGGTAATAAAAGATCTGATAGTTTGGCCAAGGGGACAGTACAACAAGGAGTTTATTGTAATATGTGTACAATGCGAGACGTCTCTAATTTGATAAAAAATAAAATAATGTTAAAATGGAAAAGACAGTGGGAAAACGTTGTAGAAAACTCACAAAATACATATTTTAAAATACATCCAACCCTACCATCTCCACCCCAATATATTTTCAACTATTCCACTTCAAAATTCTTTGCAGCAAGTGTTTTTCGACTTTAAACAAATCATGGGCAATTTCCATCGCACCTTGCTAAGCTGGGCACTATATAGTCGTCTGCCTGTAGTTGTGATCAGAACTCTTACGGAGATCTAAACTATATATTCTTAGGTTGCAAAAAACATTTAAAAAAATCCGATGATTTACTTCGTAAACTCATTAAAATGAAATATTTTCTTCCATTACATCTATTAAGCATTTTGTTAACTGCCAATAGAAACACCTTAGAACTTCTACTAAATTTTATTAAAGAAGTAAAAATAGAAATTTAAAACAGCATAATCCACAACTCCGTATTTATATTATAAGAAAAGTTCTGCATACAACATTATGTGGCAAATGGACTTGATTCCGTGCCATTATCTTTCCACACACAGACACACATCTACCAAAACAACAAAATGGAAGTCAGAATAGATGGACAACTTACAGAACCTATAGAATTAGCCAGCGGAATAAGACAATGGGATTCATTGAGCATCATGCTCTCTCCTGATCATGGATAAAATCATCAAAAGCATTAACAAAGGAAGAGGATACAAAGTGGGAAACAAAGAGATAAAAATACTTTGTTACACACACGACGCAATATTGATAGCCCAAGATGAAGACAGTCTAGAAAGACTGGTCCACAGATTTAACACAAGAGCAAAAGAATTTAATATGACAATCTCATCTCATAAAACTAAAGCAATAGTAGTCAGCAAAGTACCAACCAGATGTAAAATAGACATTGATGGCATTAGTATTGAACAAGTAATGAAAAAAAATACCTAGGAATTACACTGTCTAGTTATGAAGACCTGGACAAAGAAATAACAGATCAACAACAAAAAGCAAATAGACTGGCAGGATGCCTCAATTACACTATATGGCTAAACAGACACATTACAGACACATTCACTGAGATGAAGTCAAGAATTTATAAAGCCAGTGTAACACCAATTATGACATATGCCTCAGAAACAAGACTCCATACAGCCACAACGCAAAGGCTAATGGAAATGTAACGTAAAGCATAAAAATGAATAGACACAAAATAGGGAAAAAAAAGAATGGAATAACCACATAAGCAGAATGGAGGATACCCGTGTTGTCAAAATAGAAAGAGATAAGTCAACAATCGGCAGAAGAAGTATCGGATGACCGTGCAAAAGATGGAGTGACAACCTTCATACCGGTATTAATCCGCCAATGAACAAGCACAATTGTTTATAAAGAGGAAGAAGAAGAAGAACAAGAAGAAAAATTTATTGAATTAAACGTTTGGTTAAAAATATGTTAGAAGAGAGGGGTCCTCTGTATGTGACCGAGATTACTTTTATATTTTTTATCATTTTCACTTTTGACAGTTACTTTTATTATTTGAATCAATACTTTATATTTATATATTAACATAAAACACTTTTCTTTATTGTTTTAGATACGAGAGTACAAACCTGGCTATTTATGGATAGTCCTGTTCCAACTATTTATATAATACTGACGTACTTATTTACGGTATTATACCTCTTACCAAAGTTTATGCAAAACAGAAAGCCTTTCGAGCTGACTACAATTATCAGAGTTTACAACTTATCTCAAGTGGCAGCATGTTGCTATCTGATTTATATGGTGAGTACACAATCAATAGTTTTAGCGTTTTGTTTATTGAGAATGATATATTTGAATGTGCTTTTATTATTTTTTTAGTAAGTAGATATATCTATACACTGGGCGTCATTAAAAAGAAGGCATCTAAAATTTTTAGCGTTTTAAAATTTTTACAAACCTTACAAAAAATTGATTGTCATTAGATGTTTGTGTAATGTTTTAGAATATGTTCTAAAGCAGTATACCTCCATTTCTTAAACAGCAAATGTCTTCTTGATAAATACTTCTGCCAAATTGAGGATTTTAGTGGAAAAATTCAAAAATTAACATTTTAATTTCATTAAATTGATCAAATTCTGGATGTTGTCTTGAGAAAAAGCTTTGCATTTTTCCATGAGGTATTCTGTTTCTTACTCTTGCAAACATCATCATGCTCATGCTTTATATCAAACATGCTCAGTCGGGTTCAAATCTGGGCTTTGAGTCGGTAAATTCATTTTTGGAACACTGACGGTTTTCAGGTGTTGCACTCCCATCCTGGTTACGTGTGTCCAGGCGTTATCTTTTATGAAAATAAAGTTTTCACCCACAAACTTTCTATATAACGGATAATTCCTCCTAAATTTCACCGAAATGCAATAAATGCACGTGATATTACACGTTTAGGAATATTCAGATATGGTATTTCCTGTTCGCACTCCGCTATTGTTCTATAAATGGTTTTGAGTGAAATATTTTCATTCTGGAATATTCGACAGATATCTTTGGGTGCCCGCCCAACCAATTTGTAGATACTTTTTATTATCTCTAATTTATATTTAAAGCAAAAACTTCAAAATAAATAAATCTCAACTGACAGTAAACAAACTTCTGTTAGTGAAGTATGTAGCGCTTTTGGTAGTCGCCTTAATTTTTTATCGCGACTTTTATCGCGTTTATTTGTTTCATCTTAATATATTCTCCTCTTTCATTTACTATGTCGTATGTTAGGATTCGGCTAGTTGTTTATTTTGTAGTCAGTCAAAGCTCCACAAGGAAGAAGGAAAATAAATTCCTGCAGCTGGCTGTATACCATGTATCACAAAAAGAGGTTTAAATCTTTGTAAGTAGGTATATTTGAAAAACCTTAGAAGGGCTACATCCAAATAACAAACGTTTTCGGAATAATAATTCCATCATCAGATTATAAGCAGGTCCTTCTCCCCAACGATGTAGAATACGCCTCTACGCCCACCTCAAAAAATTACTAGCCAACCTTATATTTTGGTGGAGGCGCCATATAATTCTTATAAGCACATCCACCAAATCGCAAATTTTGGTCCCGTGCAAACAGTCGAGAGCTCCACTACATAAGTCCATTTACAGGGTATAAATTTGTAGAATATTTTTTTCTTCTGATGACTTATCTTGAGAAAGACAAGATAATTCTTACATGACAAAATATACGAAGCTGAAATAAAACTCTCAACCAAAGAGTATGGAAAATCAGGAAACACAGACCCTACAGTACTAAACTCTAGAAGAGCCCGTGAGATAAATAGGGATTTACAGGTCAACAGCAATTAGAACAGAGATTGTACGAATTTTGTAAAGAAAACGATATGACAAGCAACAGGACAGATATTGTATGAATTTTGTAAAGAAAACGATATGATCATTGCAAACAGCTGGTATAAACAACCCAAGCGACGACTATACACTTAAAAAGCCCCATTGGATGATAGCAATAACTCTGAGTCTTCAAGAAATCAAATAGACGATATACTTGTAAATGAGCATTTCCGAAATGCCGTCAAAAAGTCACTACATATCCTGGGACAGATATTAGATCTGATAATCAACCAATTGTAGCAGATATTAAAATAAGGTTAAAGCGAATTCAGCGACAAAAACCAAAAACCAATGAACTTAACTTTGACTATATAAACATAAAACTTAACATTAAAAAGGAATTTAACAATAGAATAAAAAACATCGGAGAACAACTAGAAGATCCAGAAGAACTATGGAGTGATACACCAAGTTAACGAAATCTCCACAAACAATTATTAGAGAAAAAACTTAATCAAGAAAAATAAATGTATATAGTAATTCTATCAGATATTATTGAAGATCTTCAAACTCTGCTTGATCGTATTCACGAGGTAGGAGAGGAAATGGGCATTAAAACAAACTCAAACAAAATCAAATTTTTAGTGTTTAGTCGTGACCCACATCCCGATGCAAAACTTCAAATACACGGAGTCCAAGTTGAAAAAGTTCACAAAATGACATATTTGGGAACTGTGATAACGGACTAACTAGATCCAGACATAGAAATAAAACGTAGAATAGCAATGACTAAAACTACTTTAATGAAAATGAAGCCATTTTTTTGCAATAACCATCTCAGTTTAGAACTAAGACAAAGAATGGTTAAGTGCTATGTTTGGTCCGTACTTTTGTATAGTGCAGAAGTGTGGACGCTAAAAGTATCGATCATGAACAAACTTGAAGCATTGTAAATGTGGGTTCATAGACGAATGCTGAAGATACCTTGGACAGCAAGGAAAACTAATGAAGAAGTACTAAGGAGCGTCAACAAATATAGAGAACTGCTAAAGATTGTTAAACATCGAAAAATGTCTTATCTGGGACATATAGTAAGGGGAAGTCAATATAAAATATTACAACTGATCCTTAAAGGCAAAATAGAAGGCCGTAGAGGTGAAGGAAGAAAACAAGTTTCTTGGTTAAAAAACTATTCCTGGATGGACTCAGATACCAAATGCAGGACAATTATTCTATATTCAGGTGATGCGCATCAGAGTGCGTACTAGTCCATATACTATTGCACACGATGACAATAACTTCTGTTTCCAAAGGCAACTAGATATTATTTTGTTTTTGTTAATATTAAAACCAATGGATTTCGTTCCAAAATTTTTGTAGGACATACGTTGAAGGCAAAAATAAACGAAATAAAGTACTTGAAGAAGAGAAAATTCCAAATAGTATCAGAATATAAAATCATTGCTTCTTTGCTTTTTTAGTTCAAAGACTTATTTATGTTGCAGTATTCAGTTTGTCCAACATTAACTTTTAAACAAACACACCAAGTAATTTTTATGCAATATTTTTGATTAAATATTTGATTAAATTATTGATACACATTATTTTTAAGATATCTACATCTGGATGGATTCAAGGTGACTACAGTTTCGGGTGTCAAACTATTGACTACTCAAGCGCACCAAATGCTCTAAGATTAGTTAAAGCATTTTATCTGGTATACTGGTTAAAGTTTTACGAACTGTTTGAAACGGTACTTTTTGGACTAAGAAAAAAATTCGGACAAATTTCACCATTACACGTTTATCATCATGCTTCGTCTTTAACGCTTGCCTTTCTAGCAGCAAAGTTTATTGGTGGTAAGTACCATTGTTACATTTATAATAAAAACTGTATAATAATTCTTAAGCAGACCACAGATCGGAAACGAGAGAAACTACAGAAGTGGTTTTTCTCGAGTTATGGGCGGATTTTTATTCGACATAAAGAGATGAGATTCATTTTTACTAATTTTGAGTTAGATAGGTGAAGTAAATAAAAATTCAACTTACAGAGTTAACAAACTTTCTCTAATATAGCATTGTCTAGGATAAAAATAGCAGAAAATTCTTGTTCTTCAGAGTTGCTGGTTTGCTCTATAAAATTCCGTAAGTATTCAACGCTGTTCTTGCTTTTTAGAAACCCATGGAGCGTATGTAGTATTATTCGAGTCTTCTATGCCATCTTAATCATTCGTATCGGTTTTCTGAGCTTCTGAGACAATAATTTCGTCATCAGATAATCTCCCAGCAGTCATAATTCCATTATTGCACGTACCGAAGTCCTCAAAAGAAGAATCCTAATTGTGACACGTCTGTATTTCAGTCTACCTCCTCCTTCTAAGTGCCTTCTCTATTGAGGTTGGCGATCAACATGGCAAATTTCTGTTCTGGGCTTGATGGATTAAGTCATTTCCTGTTGTGTGAGTCCAATCTCTGATGTTTCGGAGCCAGGATTTCTTCTTTCTTCCTATACCTCTTTTACCCTCGATTTTGCCTTCTAATATTACCTGGAGCTGCTCAAATTCCTTATGGCGCATTATGTATCCTAGATATGACGTCTTTCTAATTTTGATTGTATTAACCAGATGAGGTCGTGTGTTCATTATTTCCAGTACCTCTTCATTTGTAGTTTTGCTGGTCCAGCTTATTCTTAGAATTCGGCGGTACATCCACGTTTCGAATGAATTCAGTTTGTTGACGTCATACTGTTTTAATGTCCAGGTCTCACAGCCATATAGTAGTAGAGACCACACATGACACTTTAGTGTTCTTAACCTTATTGTGATTGATAGCTTGGGGTTACAGAGCATTTTACGCATGTTCATGAAGCCAGATCTTGCTATTTCAATACGTCTTGTAATTTCTTTGGAGTGGTCTAGCTGACTGTTTAGCTCTCTGCCCAGGTATATGAAGCTTTGGGAGCTCTGAAGGTTGATACCATTGATTTGTATGTTGGGTGTAATTTGTTCATGGGGGTTCTTCTGATAGTATGTTCATCAATATTTTTAGTTGGTCTTCTGTTTCTGCTAATACTACGGTGTCATCGGCATATCTTACATTGTTAATGATGATTCCATTGACTCTGGCACCTTCAGGGCGATCTTCAAGAGAAGCTCTGATATTTTCGGCATAGACATTAAATAGAAGAGGGGACAGAATGCACCCTTGACGCACTCCTCGTTCTATGTTTACATAATTAGTATTTCCGTTCTCTGTTCGAACACATCCCTGTGTGGTTCCAGTATGTATTGCTTATTATAGCTATGTCGCGTCCGTCCAGCCCTACTTCTTTTAACACCACAATCAATTTTTCGTGTCTAATGCGGTCGAAGGCCTTTCTATAATCGACAAAGCACACATACAGCTGTTTTTGAACCTCGAGACACCTTTCTGCCATTAGTGTCAATTCCATTATTGCTTCTCTGGTGCCTGTACCTTTCCTAAAAACATATTGAGAACGGCTCAGGTATTCTTTACACTTATTAAGAATGCGGTTATAAATTACTCGCATAAAAATCTTAGCGGCATGACTCATTAGGAATACAGTTCGATGGTCTTCACATTTCTTTGCTTTTTGTGTTTTAGGAAGAGCTACATATGTGGATGTTAGCCAGTCATGCGGTAGAGTGCCATGTTCATATATAATGTTAAAGCGGTAGGTTAATTTCCCGACAGCATCATCACTCAGGTGTTTAAAATGTTCGGCTGTTGTTAGATCTTCGCCGGGTGCCTTGTTGTTCTTTGCGTCTTTTATTGCCCGCATAACTTCTTCGGTTACAATACTTAGTTTTCCATCGGTATCTATTTGTGGGGGCCCTTCTGGTCTCCGATCACCAAACAAATCTTTAAGATATTGTTCCTATATTTCCTTCTGTTTTTCAGGGTCTAATTCCATTTGGTTTAGATTTCAGTCTACAGTTCGCGTATACTTCTGTTGGTTTATCTGTCTCTTAATGATATGCCCGCTATTGATCTTAATACATTCATTTCGATATTGTTGATCTGTTGTTTCGTCTTTCTTGTATCGGTCCTTGTCTCCGCTGCATATGTTAGGATTGGTCTTACTGTTGTCTTGTATACTTTCATTTTGCTTTCCGTGGTCAGATATTTGTTTCTCCATATGGTTTCTCGGAGACAACCACGTACTCTTGCCACTTTTGATGCTTGCCTTGTGGTCTTTGTTCTTATATCCCTGTCACTAGTGATCTCTACTCCTAGGTAATTGAATTTCATTACTTGTTTTACAATTTTGTCATTTATTTCTAGTTTGCATCTACGCGGCTCTTTACTGATCACTATACATTTAGTTTTTTCTATTGATATTCTCATATTAAGTTTGTTTGCTGTGATATTGAAGGTGTGGAGCTGCCTTTGTAGGTCATCTTCATTATCAGCAATTAGTACTGCATCATCGGTATAACATAGTATCCTGATTTTATGCTCTCCCATGTGGTATCCGTGTCGTTTTCTTACTTCGTGAATTATATAGCCCAAGTGTGTACCATAATCGCTCGCATTGACTCACGCTGATTATTTCGACTAATAGACGGTTCAGATTTCTAGTATTTCATAGCCTTTCGTGACCTTTTTGAAACTATAACAGGAGTGGACTAAACTTGAGACACTGTTCTTTTCTTGGAGTTCTAATCTGATGTATTAAATATATTGGAAATATCGAAAGCTCTTTAAGTCTTCGTTTTAAATCATTTTAATATTCACCATCCAAACAATTACTTCTGTTATAAATATATCAAAAATACTAATACTTAAAACTTAAATTCACTAGAAGTGCCATCAATTCTTACGAATATATTTCCAAATGTTCTCTAAACCATTAAAAACATTTATTTATTTTTCCAGGAGGTATGTTTGCTTTACCGGTAATGATGAACTTGCTCATACACGTGTTCATGTACACGTACTACTATCTATCTTCGTTCGGTCCAGAATGGCAGGCTAGCTTAGCTTCTTGGAAGCCGAAGATGACAATGGCACAAATGGTGAGGAAATTACGCACTACATTAACAACACAATACGAACTTATGTTTATTATTTTTAGATCCAGTTCACTCTGATGATTATCCATTCTGCAACTGCTTTCATGCCAGGCTGCGAAGTACCTAAACCGTTTTTCTCTCTTTACATGCCAAATGTTTTTCTATTGTTCAAGATGTTTTTCGATTTTTACCAGAAAAGTTACAAGAAGAAAGGAGACAAAAAATTAACATAACTGTAAAATGTAATCTCTATTTATAGAACGAGCAAACAATTGTTATATTATTTTAACGACACAAGATATTTTGTATATATTTCTTAATTTGTTTTAAAAGCTTTTAAAAATAAATTTATATAAAAGGAAACACCTGCAGTTTGTGCATGATTGAGCATCTTTGTTTTTTTACCAACCCTCTCCAGTCTTCTTCTTTATTTCTTCTTCTTCTTACGGTGCCTATCCGTTCCGGATGTTGGCGATCAACATGGCTATCCTAACTTTGCTTGCTGCTATTCTGAATAGTCCAGTTGTCGATGTATTAAACCACATTCTCAGGTTTTGAAGCCAAGATATTCTTCTTCTCCCTGGTCCTCTCTTTCCAAATACCTTGCCCTGAAGAATGAGTTGCAACAAGCCGTATCTCTGTTCATTCCTCATAACATGGCCAAGATATTCTAGTTTGCGCTCTTTGATGGTGTTAATAATCTCGCATTCCTTGCCTATTCTACGTAGGACCTCAACATTAGTCACACGATCCACCCATGAAATTCTTAAGATACGTCTGTAACACCATATCTCGAATGCCTCGAGTTTTCTTAAGGAAGCTTCGGAAAGTGTTCAGGCCTCTACTCCGTATAATAAGGTAAAAAATACATAGCATCTAATGAGAGAGATTTTGGTAGCAAGTGGTAAATCATGACTTCTGAAAAGAGACTTCATCATTATGAACGCTGATCTCGATTTTCCTATGCGTTGTTTTATTTCACTGGAGTGATCCCATTGGCTGTTAATGTTGGTACCAAGGTATGTGTAGCTGTCCACTCTGTCAATTGGATGTTGGTTAACCAAAAGCTGTGTATTTAATATTTTGAGCTTACTGACTACCACGTACTTTGTTTGCTTCGCATTAAGATTAAGTCTGTGTTCTCTACTTATATGTGATATATGCGACATTATTCTTTGCAAACCGTCCAGACTATCTGCAAAAACTACTGCGTCGTCGGCATATCTAATGTTGTTTAGACGCATTACGTTGACTAATACGCCTTCTTGTAGTTCTCCCAGCGCTTGCTCGAAGATATTTTCAGAGTATATATTAAATAACACCGCGGACAGAATGCATCCTTGCCTCACTCCTATATCTATGGAGACTGCCTATGTCAATTGATCTTCTTCTTGATTCTTTATGTAACGAAATAGAACTAATCACCACTTTACAAACCAGAAAACTGGAATACCTGGGCCACGTGATGAGGGGACCAAAATATGAAATTTTGAGATTGATAATACAGGGAAAGATTCATGGAAGAAGATCTGTTGGCCGAAGGCAGAACTCATGGTTAAAGAATGTACGTGATTGGTATCAATGTAGATCGATTGATTTGTTTAGAGCAGCCTGTTCTAAAATAAAAATAGCCATTATGATTGCCAACCTCCGTAGGGAGACGGCACTCTAAGACGAAGAACATCTTTGTGTTTTTGAAATCAGGTACAAATATACTGCTTCTCCATTCCTCTGACATTTGTCCTATTTCCATAAGTCTATTATTTCCACCAGTTCCGCGTGGGGTAAGTTCTCACTTACTTCTAAAGGCTAAAGTTTTTCCTCTGTAGTTTTTGTTATGATCGATTTTTCCTGTTTGCACTCTGTTACATTGTTCTTTGTACTTTCTGGTACTTGGTTAATAAATAAATAGTAGCACCCAGTAAACTGATTTTCAGATTCATTTGAAAATCAGTAGTGATGCGCTGATGGGGTGAAAAGTCGACCCAAGAAGTCAATTGAATGTAATGTCCTGCAATTTTTATTTAGATAGGGGATGATGGTTCATAAAAATACTCAATCGTCAGTATTTACCGATTCAACCCAAATGTGTGTTTCATATATAATAAGCTGCGACGACGGAGCATTATGTCAGTCTTCTATGTTCTTTGTAGATGTTGCAGCGGTAAGGGCTAGGAAAATTTTACCGACCGTGGGAAAAAGCTTATCCTACACCAGAATTAACACCTGCTCAAGTATTCGAGTGACGTCACGCCCACTGACAAGTCGAGTCATTGCTTATTTTCGTCTCTTTCGTCTTCTTCTTTTTGTCAGCTGGACTGTTTTTTCGTTCATGTAACCTTCATCTATTCACTAATTGAACGTCTACTGCTTGACATGGGAACTCAATATTTTATACACTGCTACATAAGTATAAGCTTGCGTTTTTTTATCTAGTGCTCGACACAGATCTTTCGCTCAATACTCTAGATAGGTCTATGATTATTTCGTCCAATATACTATATATGTCTACGGTTCTTTCGTCCACGACTAGACACAGGTCTTGTCGCTAATCATCGTACGGCTCCACTGCCCAGAAGTTCTATGTAAAATAGCAATATTTTTTTTGTTATGTTCAAGGGTAAGTGCGTTTGTCTTTATTAGACGATCTCCAGTTTAGTTCATTACCCAAACGCAGAAACTTAGAGAGGCATCATAAAATTCTGCATAAAAAAATATCTTCATCGTCTTACCTAAACATGTTTCTCGGTGCAAAAACCGCTAATTTATTGGAATTTGTTTTTTAACATTTATACAATTAAAAGAGAACTTTGTAAACAATGAATCATTTCATTGTAACACTCCTTTGTTAAAAAAATGCAAATTTTTTAATCACCATTGAAATGAATAGAGAACATACTTATATAAAATGTTTAACGATGTAATCAACGCGAGTTTTTACAGCCTGTTTTATTAACTTTTAGAATATTGCTACTAAAAGACAGAAATGTGTTTACTGCAAACTATAATCAATAGCCACTGAAAATAGGGCAATTTCCAATGGAAACAACTATACTAAGTGACAACAGATTAAAACACTAATATACCGAAACAAATAATTGAATCATATTGATACGAAACTTCGATGATAAAATCAAGTTCGTAGAGAGGCTGTTAAACTTAAAGATAAGAAAAATATCTTAATTGTGCTCTGGAACTGTTGAAAAATTACGAACAAATGTAGATACCAATGAGAAACGAATACCTTTAGTTGTAAAGATTTGTAACTATGTTAAGCGTTTCTACGCCTAACTACGACGTAGGTCAGGAAAAGGTGATGCTATAGAGAATATAGCGCCACGCGAACACTTTCACGCCACGTGGCTCGAATGACAGATAACATGGACAAAGTGAATACTGGAATTAAGAGATCATGAATGCATACTGAAGTTTAGATCATCCACCAACGCGATGGACTGATGACCAGATGAACTAGAAAAACTGGATGCAAGAGGCATACAATCGAACAAATGGAAAATAATGAGGGAGATCTACGTCCATCAGTGGACAAGGGAAGATTGAATGACGATGTTTATCAATGTTTAAGTTGGTGAGACCTTTTAATAAACCGTTTATAAAGGAATTTTTTTAAACAAAATTTTTTATTTTTAGTGGTGACGGACACTCCCAGGGATACAAATTCGTTAACTGCTTGGCTGCCGTCGTTTTCTATAATGAGTGGCCGTAGGATTTGTGATTGCGTGCTTATTTTCATGTATTTCGTTTTATTGGTGTTTATTATATAGTCCATGCTGTGAGGCCGCTCCCGTTGGGAAAATGTTTCTGATTCAGTTTCTTTGCGGATTCCGGTTCAAAAATAGCCCCTTTAAACAAATCTGAAGGGTGCCGGGCGAAATTTTTGGGCAAAAATTGTTTAAACAATTTTTTTAAAACAAAGTCCAAAAATAATTTTTTTTAATCTGCAAAACGTTTTTTAAGGTTTTTTGGGCCATTTTAAACAAAAAAAGTCTCTTGTCATTTTTCTCTAAAGTTGATAGTTTTCGAGTCATAAGCGATTTAAAGTCTGAAAAACGCGAAAATACGCATTTTTGAGGCTTGAAAACACATATGTAAATTATTATTTTTGAGGTTACCAAGTGTCTAAATCAAAGTTTTAAACATTCAACTTCAAGATTGTGAAGAGTATCGGGGCTTATTTTAATTTAGACCGTTGTTTTTTAATTGTTAAGTATGCGCGTACACCTCGATTTTTCAGCCGCCGCGGCGCGCTAGAGTGCGCTTCTATCGTACTTATGCATAGTTTACCGGCGGGTGTTTAAAATGACCCAAAAAGCCTAAAAAAACGTTTTCCAGATTAAAAAAAATATTTTGGAATTTGTTTAAAAAAAAATTGTTTTAAACAATTTCTGCCCAAAAATTTCGCCCGGCACCCTTCAGATTTGTTTAAAGGGGACATTTTTGAACCGGAATCCGCGAAGAAACCGAATCAGAAACATTTTCCCAACGGGAGCGGCCTCACAGCCTGGACTAATAAGCTCATTTTTGCAGTCGCTGTACATCCCGTATAACGTTTTTCTACATAAATTTTGATATCATCAGCATAAGCAAGGATTTGCACCGATTTGTTATTTATTGAACCGGTGGTTGTGATTTGTGATATACATATTACTTTTTGCAGAGTCAGATTGAACAATATACAGAAAAGAGGGTCTCGCTACCTCATGCGTAGAGCATTATTTGTTTTAAAAGATCAGACACCCTGGTTTGTGCTCTACATTCAACTTTTTCAAGGCTTAGTTTTGCTTAACTTACCAGCTGATGTGGTAGTCCTAGATCTTTCATTGCTCTGAACATTTCTATTTACAAAGTCGAAGTTTTTCTAGAAAATATTTCATTCTTCATGCAAACAATCATGATCCCCAACAAGTAAATAAAAATAAAATTGAAGAATAACTGCCTTTTAATTATTCGCCAATGTTTGTGTTTGAAATTGTTATAGGTTTATCTCGTTCAATCCATAAGCATTCCTTACAAGTTCACCAACTAATAACTAGCAAAATTTAGATTATTGTTGTTAATTTTGCACAATCATTTAGAGCGTTGTAGAGATAGGCATATAGCGTTCGCATATACTAAGGAAATCATTAATTCAAAGTCATTTTAAATAAAAAAATTTTCGAGGTTTGCTTGATGATTTGCAAACATTACACTTTTATTTTAATGTATGATAATTGAATTTACATTCCTCGACATTTGACATACAATCCTCCTAAACAATATTTTAAAGCGTTGTATAAAACTATTCTGTTGCGCATAATAATTTCGTGCATCAGACAAAAAATGTCATAGAATTACCAATGATTACAATTTTTTGACTAAGTTAATAATCCCAAACGTATACGAGGCTTCACTATTCTTCAAAACATACTAAACAAATCTTCTTGTGTACCAAAAGCCATTTTAGAGAACAAATTATGTTGTTTGATTTTCCTCACATTTCAGGAAAATGAGCACATGCCACATCTGGCTTGCGCTTCTTTGGATATTAAAAATAATTTTATTGTAACTAACTTTGTTGTTCTTAACAAATGTGGCAACTTTAATTAGCATCACCACCATCCAGTCTTATGCATCCAAACTTTTTTCAAAAAGAGAAAACAATGAAAAAAAATGAATTTTATTTGAAAATCTTTAATCATACAAAATAACCATTCTTTACAATTACTTCTTAAAGATAATTTCTTTTAAATGCTGGTCGTACGGTTAAGATGGTCTATTCGGAAGTTCAAATTCGAGCATTTCGATAGGTATTTGATCAATGACTCGAGTAATATTGGCCGCCAGTACCTTAATTGTAGCCGGTTTATTCAGGTAGACTTTGAATTTATGCAGTCCCAAAGGTAAAAGTCTATAGGTGTGATGTCACAGGATCTAGGCGACCAATTCAGTGGCCCGAAGTGTGAAATAAATTGTTCACCCAACCGTTCTCGCAGTAAAGCCATGCCGTATGGCAAGTGGCGCCATCTTATTGGAACCAAATTTTGTCGAGACCATGACCTTTATTTTCAGGCGTATAATTCTGGCAGTAACATTCTGGTCGGCTTCTGTTTAAAAAAATATGAGTCAAAAGAAAAGGCAAAAAAGTATTTTTGAAGTGTGTATATTTTTAATAATTCCTAGCTGAGCGCTTTCGGCTTCATAAAGCCATCATCGGAGCTATGCTACAATAAAATGTTCTTATAAGTACTAATTGGTGAAGATTTTTAATTTTTTTACTTACGTCAATTTATAAATACCACTACAATGGAGAGATCTCATTTCCTTATATGTTGAAATATTGATTTTTTATTTAATTACTTATTGTTAAAATTCTTAAAAAAAACCGACACTGGACTTCACAGACACATTAAAAAATTAAAAGGATTTTTTGTCATGGTACGGGTGTAAGAACCCGACCATTGTTTGCTGTGAGGAGGTAGACAGAATAGAACTAATGAAATCAAATGTCGGTCCTTTTAAACGATTTTTCAAAAGTGACAGTTGACAAATGTCATATATAGGAAATAGAGATAGTTTTAAATTCTTACAAAATTATTATTTAATAGTTTGGAATTACTAATAGTCATTAAAGACTTTCTAAAAATTAAGTTTTTAAATTAAATCTTATGTGTTCATCACATCATACAGAATGACATTTGTTTGTAAATTCACTCAAGTCATTGCTCAAGGTCAATGTATGTTCAATCTGACAGTTATCCTTAAGAAACAAGGGCTCAAATCATTCAACAATAATATAAAGAAGAAACATGGTATTAATGTTACATTATCTGATACTTAAGTGTATTGAGAATTGTATCTCTTGATGGAAATTTGTAAGCAATTCGCATAAAAATTTTTTAAAGAATATATTTTCATGTTTCAATTAAGAATAACTGTCAAATGAATTACAAAATGTTGTAAATACGAAAAAGACTACTGGAAGGAATAGTACGAGGCAAAAGATCAATAGGAACACGCCAGAACTCATGGTCTGAGACCTGAGGAGACGGTTTGACCGCTCATCTGCAGAAATCTTTCGCGCAGTAGTTTCCAAACTATAATTGCCATTTGTATCGTCAACTTTCGAAAGGAGACGACGCCGTGAGAAGAAGAAGAAACTACACAGCCAACAAAAAAGCGTAGATGACTTCTGCTATTTTTGAAGAATAATTGAGCAAGTGGGACAAGAAACTCTCTTCAAAAAAAAAAAAGAAATTCTTCTCTTAGTTGACAACTGTGCTGTGCCCAAAGCTTAATTTGACTAATATCAACCTAGATTTCTTACCAGCCAACTGCACGAGTGTCTTGCAGCCTATTGGCCAAGGAGTCATAAGAAGTTTAAAGTGCCATTATCAAAAACAGCTTTTGAAAAGGATGATTTTTGTATGGACAATGGGGAACCTGTGAACATTAGCATCCTGGATGCAGTTAATTTTTTAGACAATACGTGGAGTGCCTACACGTCAGTGACAATTTATAAGTGATAAAGAAATTGTGGAACAAGTACAAAATGTGGAAATGGATGTTGATAAAGATAATGAAGAAGAAGACGGCGTTGATTAACCTACAATACAAGAAGCAATGGGAGCTGTTGAGACCATATCCAGGTTTTACCAGTTCAGGCAGGCAACCACAACTACCAAAGAAGCAGCTCAGATTATTAAGCACACTATAGAAAAGCTTTATTTTTCGGAACGGTTTGTGCGGAAGAAAGTAACTGACTTTTTGCAGCATTAGGTTCCAAAAAAACTGTTGAATGCAAAAAATAATGCAGGGTAAGAGACCTATTGGGAGACCGAGAAAGCGATGGGAGAATGATAAAGATGAAGGCACAAGAACTCTCCTTGGCACTCGATCATGAAAGAGAATGGGTACAGACCGTAACGAATGGAGAGGTTTGTTGAGAGAGGGCAGAGCTCGAATTGAGCTGTACAGGCGTAGGATCGAAACTAATGTTATACGTTCTATTTTTCACGTTTACAAACATTTAATAAATTCCGTAAAAATAAAAAATTACTGCCTTATATACCTATAAATAATTTTGAAGAAATTATTATCCATTATTACGGCAAAACGTCAATTCACGTACTTTGAATTAACAAACAATAGATGTTTAGTGTGTTCTACAATTCTTAATAAATTATTCGTATTTAAGAATTAGTTAACAAAGAGCAGTGTTCCGCGGGATTGGATTGGGGGTGATTGTACTATTTGTGTAGAATATTAGTTAAAAAAAATGGAAGCTTTAATAAACTTATATAATTACTTTTATAATTTAGCAGGTGAGTCAATAATTTTTATTTTTGAGTTAAAAAAAAACATCAAAGCCTGTAAACGATTGTTATACTGTTCATTCTGGACTTTAGCGAAATTAACTGGATTTACAAATAAGGAATTAAGTGGTGGATGTTGTAAATTAGATTCTTGGGTTACTTTAGCCAGTATATTTGGCATCTGCTCTCGCGCATCGGTTTTCTTACCATGAACTTTTTTGTATTTCTCAGAAGGTAAACCAAATATTCCAATTTTCTGCTTTCACTATGTCCATCATTTATTTTCCTTTACTAAGTTGTTGGAATACTCTGGTATTCGATATTTTGCCACTCTTGATATTTTAAGAGTACAGTAAAACCTCCTTTAACCGAAACCTTTTTAACCGAAACATCGTTTAACCGAAATGGCTGATAGTTTTAAAAAGTGAATTTTTATCGCAAAACGTAAACAATTCCATTAATTTCACTCACCGATTGATGCCGACGTGTGTTGAGAAATAAAAAAAACTAAGAGTTCTAAAAGATATTTGAGCACCTCCAGTTTTTTATAGAAGCCAAAAAAGCTCATCGATGTCGACCACTTTATTTTCAGAATGGTTCGAAAATTAATTCAGCCCAAGAGTAAAATCCTGTTTAAATGAAAAAAAAACTGATAATTGTCAGATTTTTGCCACCATATGTAACGAGCTTAATTCAACTGTTAGACCAGGGAGTAATAGAGATATTCAAGAGACATTATAGAGGAGCATTCTTAAGACATCTGTTACTACAGGAGATGAATTAATCCAAAAGTGTTCCCGAAATTCTCAAATCTTCAACAATGAAACATGTTGTTTATCGTGTGCTGAGTTCTAACTATTAGAAAACATTACGAAATTACCTCATAGTATTTTTTTAATACCAATACTTTAACCAAGAATACTATAAAAAACGATGTTATTTTTAACCGAAATTCTTATCCGAAACGGCCTCCCCCCCAATTATTTCGGTTAACGGAGGTTTTACTGTACTTCTATAAAACTACATCTCCAATGATTCCAGGTAAGGTCCAATACTCTATCTACTATGTATAAGTTGGATAATATGCATCAAAGCAGTAGGTGTCCCAATTTTAAATTCAAGTTGTGTTTATGAATGGTCCAACTGCTCATTTAATATTTAAGATATTTTTTTAACAATAAGAGTACACCCCGTCTACAAGATTAAGCAGGATTTTTTCTTTAATTTAATTTTTCTACTATTATTTGTAAACTAGACGTCACCTGGTCCATCCCAGCTTTTTCTGATATGAAATGGCCACTTCTATGTTGTGTCTACACTGCCTACACTGTCTGACTCTGCGTTTCAGTAACTGCTCACGTCCTTGTTGAGGTTACAATACACAACACTAACTAAGCCTTGCACAACTTCTCACATTACACAACCTCGAACGGTTTAGTCTTCTTGAACCTTCGTATTTGGGGTTGGTAGTTGGGGTTGAAGTATTTCATGGTTGGGATACTTATGGATGCTGCCTTTATGTCTCCTGGCGAGTTTCTTAATTTAATTTGAAATAAATTACTATTTAACTGGGAAGAAGCCACAATTAAAGATAAAAATACGTTTATTGACGTTTCAATTTCCACTTCGGAAATCGTTCTCAAATACACAAGTAATTAAAAGTAAATTAAAACAGTAAATTAAACAAATTTTTGTTTTTTGTTACATAGTGAAAAATTCTTCTAATAATTTAATTTTATCTGACTCATTTATATTGACAATTCAGACATACATTATGCATTTTAAAGTAGACGACTTTAAAATTATATTGCCTAATATTGTTGAGTTGCGCTCCTGGGACGACTTTATTTATAAGATAGTTCATTCGATTACGTGAAATCAACTTTAACTTGAGAATATCCGTCAGAAAAAATCATAGCATGTAATTCGTCTTTAAAAAGACAAACACATGACATGATGACAGTAAAATTTTCCTGTTATATTCATGATTCCTGGTCAATTATGAGGGAAAAACCAGAAAAAAAAACCTCATAATACTATCCGGACATTGTAAGTATTTGTTCGTGAATTTAGTTTACCTTCAACAAACATCAAAAGTCTGATTTTATATGTTACGTTATTTAAAAAACATAAATGATGTATCCTCTATTGTTATTGACTTACTAATACTGGTATTTTCTTATTACTAACTTCCTCTTTCAATATTGATAACCAGATCCTACTACATTCTGCCGAGGAATTTGCGACACAATTGGCCTCATTTAGCATAATTAGAGCCGCTTCTTCAGGATTCAGAAAAGGAGGAGAAACATTTCTTAACATCTGTTTTATTAAAAAATGATTATCCTTTATCGTTTATAAATAAGGAATTTTCAACAATCGATCGAATAGAACAGAACAACTTAGAACGAGATCCTACATCATACACAAGGAATAATACGAGGAAAATAACAATACCGTACATAAAAGGATTATCAGAAAAACTTATAAGGATAGGAAATAAATTCAACATTTCAACAACATTCAAAACAACAAACACGTTGAGATCTATTTTGTCCAAAACCAAACCTAACAATGAACAAGAAAGGACAAATAATTGCATTTATAAAATACCTTGTGAATGCGATCAGTTTTATTTAGGTGAATCATCAAGGCCATTAAATGTTAGAATACGTGAACATCAATCTTATATTAAAAATAGAGAATTTGATAGATCTCAAATATGTAAACACGCATGGGATAATGAACATAGGGTTCAATGGAATAATTCAAATGTAGTCCCTAAAAGAAACGGATGTTAAAAAAAGAAAAATCAAAGAAGCGGCTCTAATTATACTAAATGAGGCCAATTGTGTCGCAAATTCCTCGGCAGAATGTAGTAGGATCTGGTTACCAATATTAAAAGAGGAAGTTATCAATAAGAAAATACCAGTATTAGTAAGTCAGTAACATATAGAGGATACATAATTATGTTTTTTAAAATAACGAAACATATAAAGTTAGAATTTTGGTGTTTATTGAAGGTAAACTAAATGCACGAACAAATACTTACTTTTTTCTGGATTTCACTAACAGGAGAATTTTACTGTCATCATGTCATGTGTTGGTCTTTTTAAAGACGAATTACATGCTATGATTTTTTTCTGACGGATATTCTCAAGTTAAAGTTGATTTCATGTAATCGAATGAACTATCTTATAAGTAAAGTCGTCCCAGGAGCGCAACTCAACAATATTGGCAATATCATTTTAAAGTCGTCTACTTTAAAATGCATAATGTATGTCTGAATTGTCAATATAAATGAGTCAGATAAAACTAAATTATTAGAAGAATTTTTCACTATGTAACAAAAAACAAAATTTGTTTAATTTACTGTTTGTATTTTGAGAACGATTTCCGAAGTGGAAATTGAAACGTCAATAAACGTATTTTTATCTTTAATTGTGGCTTATTCCCAGTTAAATAGTAATTAATTTACAATGCCAGAAGAGAATAGCTTCAGAACAATATTTCCTTTGAAATAGATTCGACTTTAAGGTCTCTACGTAACTCCTCATTCCGAACATCCCAAGAAGCACCTACAATATTCCTTAGTATTTTATTCTAGAACATTTCTAAATTTCTATAATTGCATGTTTTTGGTACAGCCCCATAATTGTAGGCCATACGTCCACACCGATTTTAATATCTGTTTGTAAATCAGTTCTTTGTTGAGGATGGAAAATTGAAAGTACCTACCATCAACCAATACTGTTTTCTTATTAGGAAGAATGCTGCTGTTTAAGATAATTCGGAGATAATTGATTTTCTTGTTAGTAAACCCTTAACTGGTAAGGTACTGTAGCAGTAACGTAACTGGTCCGGCGTAGTCTCCTAAACTACTGTTTCCAAGAATGCAAAACAACACACAAAAATAATTTTTTTAATAAAATAAATATTACTAACATACCCTGATATATTTATATAAAAATAAACGTATTAATGCACTGCTAAGCAGTAACTGCTTGAACTACCTTACGCCCAATTGTTTCTAATGGTTTCAGATAAATCTGCCCCACCACTAACAGGGTTTGATCCGGGATAACTATTAACCTGACAAGTTACGCTCCGTCACGATTTGACATCTTTGTCATCTTGAACTTAACAGTATCCTTCTTACCCCTTACGATACGAAGGATAGGGTTTTCGAATGAAATAACTAAAAAACCCCGTGAAAAGATACTTGAGACCACAGTTCATGGGGTTCAATGTGTAATGAACCCACATTCATTGTGAACTTGTGGAACCTCTGGGTTTATTGGCTTCAACTCAGAGTACTCGTTTTCCATTTTAACTCTAAATGCTCGCTGGTATGACTGCAATATTTCAACGAGTTGCATAAGAAATATTTTCTTTAGCTTCATTAACAGGCCGTCGTGACATACTTCGTCAGCTGCTTTTGTTATACCCAGTAATACTGCTGAACAAATTTTGTCCCCTTCTAATGCGTCCTTTATTTGTGGCTGAAAATGACTATACAACCAAGCACACGTACTCATAGCTAATATTTATAGTAAACAAACGTAAATAAAATAAAACTTTACGAATTACCGACAATCAATATTTATTTATTTGCACGGTATAATGTATTGATAACAAATAATAAACTTATTTAGTGTACAAAATAAAAATACTTTAAAAGGAAATAATTTCCACAAAATTAAGCAGTCACCAGTCAATAAAAAAAAGGTCTTATGGCACCAAATAATCTGTGCTTATGGCATACTTAATAAAATTGTTGAAGTTTTACTAGGATGAAATAAACATATCTCATATACCTATTTTGACCACTAAGTATACTTCCCTATGCAAAGAAGATTTAACAAAGCAAATATATGATACTACAACAAACAAAGCAAATATAAAGAAATAGTAATTTCCAATAATTTATTCAGCGTGATTAATACAAATATTATAGAATATGTTTATAACTGACATATTTTTTAAATATATACTATAGAAAATGTAAT